AAGTCAAAGATTTGATGATTCGGTTCAGCTCAGGCGAACATTTGAATTTTTTTATCTCGTCCGTTTTGTTTTGAATCGAAATAATTCTTTGGAAAATTTTCAATTTCGAGAAGTGGAAGCAGGCCAAGTGTCTTTTAGGGAACAAATGTAGTTTACAATTAACATATGCCAAACTAAACCCTGACCCTATGCCTGACATTAAGAAATCAGCTTCAGTTTATGATAGAAATACCTAAACTGAACCCTGATTTTGTATCTTTCCTTCACCAAACATGTCATTTTAAAGTCTTTTCTTTTTATGTGCTGTGTCCTTTCAGGACATAGGCGATCATGGCTCTCCACTTCTCCCTATCCCTTGTGGCTCTCAATAGGTTTTGTACTTCTGCTATCTCCCCAAGATCACGTTCTGCCATCTACCTGCCCAAGCCCACCAGGTATGCCATATATTGCTTTCCTTTGTCTACCTGTGAGTATCAGATTCTCCAGGTCCTCTTTTCTCATTATGTGTCCCAGAAAAACGTAATAACAACAAAGATGAGGACAATAGTCTGGATATAAATTGTTTAAGTAATGATAACTTTGCATCCCAGAAATTCAGATGGAAATTAAATAATAATAATATTAATAATAATATTACTATTAATAACAATAATATTAATAATAATATCAATAATTTATAATATTAATAATATTAATAATAATATTACTATTAATGATAATAATATTAATAATAATATTAATGAAAATAGTAATAATAATATTATTACTATTAATAACAATAATAATATTAAAAATGATATTAATAATAATAATAATAATAATACTAATAATAATGATGATGGCAGAATTCCAAAATTCATATGACAAAGTCCAGTAAACATATAGCGAGTTATTTGAGAGTTAGGTCTTGTTAACTCTAACACAATAAGGGATATATGAAGGCATAAGTAAGAAACATGATAAATCTATTCTTAAAACAATCAAGTCTGGAGTATAATTTATAATTTTATGTAAACATTAATAATTGGTTTTGTATTTTCCAAAAACATTATTAATGTATATGGATGGCACAAGGTTGGTATTTATAATGTAAGTAAAATTAAATAAAAGTTTCATTTAGTAAAAGGCCCAGTGAATGAGGGGGAAAAAAGAAAGTTGAATGTATGAGAGAAGTAAAAGGGGTAAAAATGACGACAGAGGTGTGAGGAGTTGTGGTGTTTATTGAAGCCAAGATGTCTTTGTTGTATTCACTCGCAGTTGTAAGTGTTTGTCTCTCCAACACGAGACACAGAGAGAAGACACGGAATCTTTTTTATTTATCAACCTCCCTACAGGGCAATATGTACAATATTTGGACTATTGTCCTCATCTTTGTCGCCATATTTATTACAACGTTTCAGCTGTTGTATGCTCCAGCCTTCTTCAGGTGGTTGGAATTTCAAACTGAACCCTTTATTTTACTCACTGTGGTAGACTGTTCTAGTTTCATGTGCCATGAGAACACATGCCATAGTGAATAAAGCCATTAGTTAGATCCAGTGACAGGACCCAAAGAGTTTGAGTTCAATACCCAGCTAAGGCAGTGGAGAAATTGGAGAGGGAAATTAACAGGAGATAACTGATAACTGACATCCATTAAACATGGCATGTGGAAGTAGAACAGTCTATCCCAGTGAGCGCAATAAAAGGGTTCAGTTCGACATTCCAACCACCTGAAGAAGGCTGGAGCGTACAACGGCCGAAACGTTGTAATAAATATGGCGACAAAGATGAAGACAATAGTTCGAATAATGTACATAATACCTCATCTCAAAAATATAGACAGATACTGAAAGGCCGAAACGTAATAAATATGGCAACAAAGATGAGGACAATAGTCTGAATAATGTAAATAATGTACATAATACCTCATCTCAGAAATATAGACAGATACTGAAAGGTCAAAATGTTTTAATAAATATGGCGACAATGATGAGGACAATAGTTCAAATAATGTAAATAATGTACATAATACCTCATCTCAAAAATATAGACAGATAGAGAAATGATTCTTTTCAGGACAGCTCCCAAGTCTGGAGGGTTTGTGGTGGGCCTGTCCAGTATCACTTGGTGGGCATATTGCCTATCTTGTTTGACAAATTCCTCAATATCTATGATACCTTGAGGTGGTGACTTCCATGTGGAGGGCAGGGCAGTAGATGAATTTTCCTTAACTTTCACTTTTTCCAGGCCTTTGTCAGAAGCTGCGAACATAGCTTTGACAGCCCTACTCATATCTTCCTCATCCATTATGAACAAGGTAGGAATGGAACCCCCCCCCACACACACACACACAACAAAAAGCAATCCGGTCCTGTTTGGGTGCTGTAAACATCTGATCCAGTTATGTACCATACATGATACACGCTTACGCGATCATGTATCTTTCGATACGTGACTGATGAAGCAGATTCCCCCCCCCCCCTGCAGTTGGTTGCCATTTCTTTCTGTGGTAGACCAGTTGCCATCCAAGGCTATAGAACCCGGTCTGTCTTGCTATTTACCCATAGCTGGGGGGAGAAAAAGAGGATTCATACCTTTTCCAAGAGTATTAGCACATAAGTGAATGTAATGGATCTGACTGGAATTTGAACTCGGCTCTCCAATTTCTCAATCTGAGCCGCTATCCATTATTCCACGGTGTCACAAAAATACACCAAGCCAAACAAAATAATCATAAAGGAATGGCTTTGCAAGGTACCAAGTCTCAAAGGTGTTTCCAGCTAACATGTGAAAACCTCCTGAGATAGAAAAATCATTGGGTTTTTATAGAGGGTAACATTTATATTAAATGCTGATGTTTCTAGCTGGTTGACGACTTGTGCTGGTCAGTAAAATTTATTTTTTGTTTTTCTCTTCAACCGCATCTAGCCACGTCCTGGGTAAAACAAAGCGCATCCAGCAGCAAGGTTTCCGATTGGGAAGTTTTGAGGAGCATGGAACCACCTCTTAATTGCTGGTGTTCCCAGGCCCACCTTGACCTGGGGGTGTTAGCACCTGTTAGGGTCCCAGCTATGGACAAATAGTCAACCCCCAAACTTGGGTCAAAACACTATGAAAGTGTAAAAATAGGTTTTAATACCAACAATACATTTTTGAAGAAAATGTTATCAGTAATAAAAATCTTCTGGGTATTAAATAGGTTCCTTCATTATGTCACAAAAAAGCAGCATGTCACGATTAAAAAAAGCTCGATTGTGACGAGGTGATGACAGATTACTATGGATGATCAAAATTGACAATTTTTGCAAAGTAAGCGAACGCGATTTTTCGTTTTTAACTAGTACTTTTTAGCATTTTTATTCAGCAATTATGTAATATCTATTTTTTATTTCATACTTTCTTAATTAGGTAATTATTTAAAGTTTTTTATTAATTAGATAATCCTTAAAAAATTTTAAACAATTATGTCATGTATACATTTCCATACGTAGAAATTATGAATGTTTTTTATCAATAAAATTTTTTTTTAAATTATTTTTGAAATATTTGGGGTCAAACGACTTGTGTTTTTCAAATTTTGATTCGTAAATTTACTTTTTCATTAACGTTATCATTGCATTACGTGCTTGAAAGCAATAAGGAATTTTAAATGATTTTTGAAGTATTAAGAAGTTAATGAAAAAATCTTTTTAAATTTGTAAAAAATACATTATTCATCAAAAAAATTTTATTTCTTCACAAAATAATGTCCTTAGTATAATGTATTTATAAAAACAAATAATGTCCTTAGTATAATGTATTTATAAAAACAGGTGAAAGCTTTTCTAATTAATTAATGTTACAATTTTTTACATTATTTTTTATAATTCAGAGCAGATTTTCTATGATATGGGGTACTGTTTTACAAAAAAAAAAAAAAAATTTAATTTCTCAAAATCTCATGAAAATATGTAAGTGGGTGGAAACATGTTAAAAAAAAAAAAAAAAAAAAAAAAAAATCTCTTTTTAACAAGATTTTCTAAAAAAAAAAAAAAAAATTTCCAAAATAATTTCATTCATTTGTGAATAAGTCCTGAAAGTTTCATTAAAATCCGACAATTATTTGATTTTTGCAAGAATTTTTAAACTTAGGTATCGAAAATTTATGCCAAAAGTGGAGGTCCCTAGTATTAAATAACCCATTCAGGTTGATATAATGTAAAACAAACCAAGCCTAAACATAAACCACACCTAGACTAGTTACCATCTAAGGCTAGAGAGCCTAGTTTACCCTACTATATGAACTTGCATAACTGAGAATGGAAATACACCCTTGTGCAAATTAATTGAAACAAAACGAATAATTATTATTTACTTTTTTTTTGTATTTTTCCAATGAAACATGATCCAGTGCATATGTTAGTACTTCGTATGTCCATTCCACAAAGTCGTTCCTTGCAGATTGACCACAGATTCTTGGCAGGATTTAAATCAGGAGAGTTTCCAGGCCAGTCTTTAGTACTTTGATTTGCTCACTGGTAAGGCTTGCCAGTGTGTTCGTGCAGCATTACAATTTTTATACACTTCCTTGGAGTAACGTCCATCACAGACAATGGCCATATGACAACTAATCAACAATCTAGACAATAGTGTCTAGGCGGGATAAAAATCTGATGCAATCATGGATAATGCAATATATTTAAGGCCAAACAAATTTCATCATACACTCTGAAAATAGATTCATATTTCTGTACACTACTGCAAACGACCTAATCTGAGTAAAAAAGCGGTGGTTTCAATTTGCACAAGGTGATAATACCGAGAGAAAACCCTGTTGCATGTCCACACAACAAATATATGACTCATGAAATCTAACAAATGTGTCTGTTTAATGCCAACACTTTTTTTTTTTTTTTTTTAATTCAAAAATCAACTATTTTTGAGCAAAAACATTTGAGCAAATTTGTGGCGTAACAATATTTTTTTCTTCCCTGGGACAGTTTGGGACCACTATTTAATTCTTTTATTTTTATTTATTTTTACTCTTTTCTTTTTTCTGCATCCATCGTAATCAAACTGGATGGGGGTCTGTAATGTAGCGTATTCAGAAGCTGAATATAAGCTTGCTCTTCCTGCTTGACATTGTGATGTGCAAAAACATCTGCTTGGGCCCGTGATATTAAATCTGAACGGAAACGTTTATCACCCAACAGCATTTCAGCTTTCCTAATAAATTCCTGGAAAGAAAAGAAGAAAAAATAAATTAAAATCATGCACACCCAAGACCAGCTATCTACTGCTATTAGTTTTATTTTCAAGAGGTTCCATATAATATTTAGAGAAAGAAGGTCCTAAAGGAGATCCCATAGCTGCACCATTTGTTCATGAGTATATATTTCATAAATAGGTTATTTAAAGTCCAAACATTTTGGATTTTAAAATTAATTCTTTTTTATGTGAGAGAATGTTGTATTAATGTTGTTTGGAGATGATGATTTTTCCATATAAAGTTTTACAATTTCTCCCATACCTGGGTGGAGAAAAAAAGATTTCAAGAATATAATGAACTCAAATGTTTTTCAGATTTCTCATTCCAACTTATTATCCATTATGCCTACCACACATCCTAGATTATCGTAGAAGGGAATATGCTAGCACCATAACTGGGTACTGACCCTGTTCAAACGTTTAATTGCAGGATGGTGATTTGAAAGACTACTAATTGGATAATAATTATTAAAATTCTCAGGAGAGTAGGTTGAATGGTTGAGAAAAAAATGAAAATAAAACAGGTTTCAAAACAATAAAATTAATTTAAGAACAGTTCCACAGTGAATTAAGATCAGAATTAACAAGTCAAGATTCAGTAAAATTGAGCAAAACCAAGATTACCCATCCCATACACTTCTTGCCAATAAGAAGGCATGATTAATGTGTTGTCTGAATTTCTTTTGGCCCTGAGAAATAATATTAGGGGGTTTGTTTACATTCATGCTATCAGCCCAAAGTATGTGTTCTTACAAAAAAGACTGATCCAAAATTTTATAGACAAACAATGAATCTGGATTTGTTTAACTCCTGAGCTTGAGATTTGCTTGTGCTGATGCTGTCCACCCAAAAACAACATTATTTTTACAGAAATAGTGTGACACTGGGATGTCTGAGAGATGATCAAACTAAAAGGGAAGGAAGGAAGGAAAGAAAGAAAGAAGAAAGCACCTACAAAATGGATGATAATTGTTGAAATTCACAGGAAGATGAATTAAAAAGTTAAGAAAATTAAAAATGAAATGCATTTAGAAATCATGTTTCAAAATAATTCCAAGGAGAATCAAACCAAAATTTAAATAGATAGAATTCAGTAAGAACCAAAACCAAGACTACCAGTCCTTCCTCACTTCCAACTGATAGCAAAGAGAACATTAATATATCCTCAAAGATGTCAAATAGAAAAAAAAAACAAACAACATGTTATTGATAAAGAAACCAGGGTGGTTACCAAAATAACTTTTATGATTCCTCTGGACAAAGAGCTAGGAAAAACATCTGGTTTGAATCAGCCACCCAGAATAAATATGATAGAGATCAGGCTGATGAGTTTGTTCATTGTAATTTCTGGGACATTTGTCGAGAAAATTTTTATACCCAACATTAATTAATATTCATTTGGATACAAGTCATAAAGAAAAATGAATTACTATTTCAGAGTGACTATGGGCAAAAGGCTGTGTTGAGTGTAAAAAAAAAAATAAACAGAGGAAAGATAAACTTTTGTTTCATCATTAAGGAAATTGGGAATGTTTTTCTTTCTTTCCATTTTGCCCATGCATCTGAGAATTTGGATTCGTCACAGGCACAGTGAGTTGGCCCTTATAAGTTGGCTGAGGTTAGATGCTGAGAAAGTTGGAGAAGAAAGATAGAGATTAGCACCGTCTGTAAGTAGTGACAGTGCAAGATGAGACATGAAGGGAATTGAAGATGGGGGGGGGGGCTGAATCCTTTGACCACACTCAACAAGTGGGGCTGGACAACTCTAAATGTGGATAACCACTTCAATAAATATGCTTTGAGAATAGGGAATTTTAAAAAAAAGTTTGATGCTAAAGGTAGAACAGACCCTGGTCAATCCCCACCCCTGCCAGATGCAGGACTCCATATATGGAATCCATCCACATTTTTCATCAAGACCACTTAACCAAGACCTTGTGCCAGACATGAAAACCAGAACTTAGAACTTCAGTTACTACTAACACAAACTGCAGACTCCAAACAGGATCTCAGTGTCATTTCATTGGTTTGGTTTGGTTTATGGCATATCAACACCTCAATGGGTTATTTTAATGCTAACAAGATTTTTATTACTGGTAATATTTTTCTCAATGTATTGCTGGTATTAAAACCTATTTTTATACTTTCATAGTGTTTTGACCCCTTTTGGTCGGGGTTAACAATCTGCCCATAGCTGGGACCATGACAGGTGCTACCACCCCAGGTCAGGGTGGACTTGGGAACATCAGTAATTAAAAGGTGTTTCCACACTTCTCAAAATCTTCTGATCAAAGGCCTTGCTGTCGGATGTAGTTTATCATCTTACCCAGGACACAGATTTAGTTCATCATCATACCCAGGATGAAGTGTCATTTGATTACCACTCTAAGTGGGAAGGGTTAAAACCACCGTATACAAGAAATCATATATAAACCAAATCATTATTTGTCTATATTTCTGAGACAAGGTATTATTTACATTATTCGAACTACTGTCCTCATCTATGGTTGCCATATTTATTACAACATTTTGGCTGTTGTACGCTCCAGCCTTCTTCAGGTGGTTGGAATGTCAAACTGAACCCTTTATTTCATTCACTGGGGTAGACTGTTCTAGTTTCACGTGCCATGTTTAATGGATATCAGTTATCTTCTGTTAATTCCTCTCTCCAAGTTCTCCACTGCCTTAACCGGGTTTTGAACTCATACTCTTTGGATCCATGGTACAGTGGATAAAGGCGTTAGTTAGATCCAGTGACAGAGCTCAAAGAGTGTGAGTTCAATACCCGGTTAAGGCAGTAGAGAACTTGAAGAGGGGAATTAAGAGTGGAGAACTGGGAATTAACAGGAGAAAACTGACATCCATTAGACATGGCATGTGAAACTAGAACAGTTTACCCCATCAAGTGAAATAAAGGGTTCAGTTCAATATTCCAACCACCTGAAGAAGGCCGGAGCATACAACGGCCAAAACATTGTAATAAATATGGTGAAAAAGACAATAGTTTGGTTTGGTTTACGACATATCAACCATAATGGGTCATTTAATGCCGACAACTTTTTTTTTCCTGATAATATTTTTGTTTTGTCAAAAATCTATTTCTGTTAATATTTTTTTTCCTTAAAAATGTATAGCTGGTAATATTATTTTTTCAAAAACATATTGCTGGTAATAATTTTTTACAAAGTATTTCTGGTATTAAAACCCATTTTTACACTTTTATAATGTTTTTTACCTCAGTTTCGGGGTTAACTATTTGACCATAGCTGGGACCCTAACAGGTGCTACCACCCCGAGTCAGGGTGGACCTGGGAACACCAGCAATTAAGAGGTGGTTCCACACTTCTCAAAACCTCCCGATCAGAGGCCTTGCTGTTGGACGTAGTTTATCGTCTTACCCTGGACAAAAGACAATAGTCTGAATAATGTAAATAGTAAACCAAATCATTGTTACATTTTTAACAAGAGTTAATTCTTTATTCCAAAGGATTCTGCTTTGTGTAGATCCCAGTCATTGAACCATTTTCATTTCAGTTTGCTTCATCAGCGACCTTTTTACCCTCAAAGATCAAAAACACAATGTGGCAGAGGAGCAAGTGGTCGTGAACAAACACCAGCTAAATTGAATGGAACTGTGCCCATTGTCATGACACCAATGACAAATGATCTACACGCTAACGAGTGAAGAGTAAGCTAGATGGTAGCCATGGTGGTCTGAAGGAACTTGAAGACCGTTGTTATAAAATAAAATAAGACGTATCTCGGCCGATTTACTGGCAAATACTCAAGAGCGAGAGCCGGATGGGAACGAGACAAAGCCCCGTTACAAAATGACCATTATCTTTGTTTACAAATGTTCCCAACACACGAGTTCTGGTCAAAAAATAAAATAATATTTAAAGTGTTCTATTTTTCGTCCAATAAAAATGCTTCCCTCCTAATTACACTCGCTTCGTTTTTCGAGCCTGTTAAGCCATAAAAAAAACTCTATAAAAGGGGTCATACGGAAGTTCAACGGGCCAGGGATGAGACCCGTCACAGTCAACAGGTGGCCAGGAGAGCATCAACCACCGTCAACATGTGTGAACTACTATGAGGGATTGACCTAGATCCGAAGCCGGCTTATGAACTTTACCACAAGGTAGCTGTCCCAAACCCTCACGTTCCTGTTGAAATAAACCACATAAATCTATTTCTGCTGTTGTCGTATTTCTTTCTTGCAACGATACGCTTGTCTATAACACCATCATGGAGGTGTGGGCAAGATTATTGGTTACCACTGACAATGATTGATTTGGTGTGGTTACAAAAGGACAGAGCATTTTAAAGACAAAAGTGATGGCCATGTGGATATTAACCAACCTCCAAGGATTAATATGGCCAGGGTAGGGAAATTAGATATGTCAGGTAAACATACATTGTGGGGATCTAGGTTAGAGATGATAGCAGAAACTAGAAGGGATTATATGTATATCACTGTTCTGTTCTAGACTCTGTTCTCAGGGGGGGTGAAGTTAGGAAGGGAGAGTCCAGATGAATCAAGAGTAGAATTCAAGGAGAATTTACAGGTGAAGCATTCAGTTTTATAAGCAGAGAATGTTAACACCTATCTCCCTCTCTCTATTTCTATATATATATATATATATATATATATATATATATATATATATATATAAAAAAAACTCTCACGTCAAGGGTTCGACGTATGAGGGCCAGGCCGATAAGTCCCCAGGAAACCGGCGTCCTGACACCGGCACATGAGATTTGTTTATAGTGATGAAGGCCTTGTGCAGGACCAGCCACACTTTTTGGAGGGACGAATACAGAAACCTGGTGCACCGAATACATGCCACAAGGTTCCCAAACGACCCTCCGCAGGTTTTGAATTCAGAGTTGTCCTTCTCCTAGACCGGTTGCCATCCAAGGCTATAGAACCCAGTCTGTCCTGCTATTTTACCCATAGCTGGAAGGAGATGAAGAGGATACATTCCAAGGGTATTAGCACGTAAGTGAATGCAGTGGATTCGACTGGAATTCGAACTCGGCTCTGCGATTCCTCAATCCAAGCCGCTAACCACTGCTCCACCGTGCCTCCTTATATATATATATATATATATATATATCTCTCTCTCTCTCTCTCTCTCTCTCTCTCTGGATCTAGGTTAGAGATGATAGCAAAAACCATGGAAGGGGTTAGATGCATATCCCTCAGCAGAGAATCAGTTCTAAGTGGGAAGTTAGGCAGGGAGACTCCAGATGAGCCGTGAGTAGAGTTTAAGGAGAATTTACATGTAAAGCATTCAGTGTTATCAGCACACCGAATTGATTGAAGTGGGGATGAACAGAGAATGAATACTTATTTAATACACTATTACACACTCTCCAGTAGTTAGGAGAGTCAAAGTTGTTAGATGCAATGTGGTACCTCATTCTTTTGGCAAACAGAGACTTAGCACTTTCAAGGACTTGTTTACATTTATTGCAAGCAGCAACAAATAGGTACCTGTTGTGATAGGAGATGTCTCGCTGGTATAGCCAAAAATATTGGTTTCTGTGAACTATGGAAAAGAGTGAGGTTTCATTTAGTATTTCCAAGAAGGAATGAAAGCATCCATGCCAGCTTTGAAAATTCAGTAGTACAGTTCTCAAGTTGAAGTTTAAAGATATCAATCAGTCCAAGGGACATCATGAAGAAAATCACAGAGCAACTCCCAATCAGAATTGCTGGTAACAGAAAGAAGTTTTATGAATAGGGTGTTCCTCTTTAATAGATGATTGGTGCAAAGTACCAATAGATACTGCAGAGTGATCCAGGTCACCAAGAAAGTAGTGTTGCGAAGCTCGGCAAGAGCGAGAAGAGAAGTTAAGAAATAAACCAAGGGCTGTTGCTCAGTTTTGCTAGGGAAACGAGTAGAGAAATCCACGATTTGAGTAAGGGATTGAGCAATAGAACGATTTAATGTCTGAATACCAGGAACATCAGTACCTTTTGGAAGGTTTAAACCACATATGGTGTAGTGATTATCATCACCATCACACACATACATACATACATATCATATGGCAAGCATTCATTGGCTAATCTCCTCAAAACTAGTTTGCTGATTGGTCAATTCTGACCAATCATATTGCCTGCACGCGAGGAATAATTTTCTTGCGCACAAGGCTGGAGCCGATCATGTGATACACCACCTAATATAAACAAAACATGAGTAAGCCTTCTCTCTCCGTTTTCTCTTTACATTTCCTTCCTTGCTGCCAGAATATGACCCTCAAGAACTCTTATCTTGACCTTGCAGTCAGACGTTAAACAACATTACCAAAATTCATGCAAGTATGAACATATAACTCTTCTGAACTCTACCAAGTTTTCCAACTCACATTTCTTAACATGCAATAGGAACTTTATTCTTCTAAAACTACAGTTTAATAATTAATTCAACTTCATGAGCTGCGGTACAAATATTTCCCAAATGTAAGAGATGTAACTATCAAACCTTTAGCTTATATGCATGTACATCTAAACAAATAAATTCAAATGTTATGTTTTGAACCATTACGTTCTGTCTTGTATTTTTGGTATGTGCTATTTTACGTCCAATATAAATTGCATGTGACCGCCACATTTGATTGTCTTTGCTTGTCCTTTTCCATATCATTCCTAATGAAAGTTAAATAAATGTGGTGGGGTCTGCTACATCTGATTGACAATCCTTCACATTTTTATTGCTGACTCATTGTCCGTTTAGCAGCTCGCTACATGTTTGGTGACCACGACGTTTGGGAAAGGCCCCGCTACAATGGTACGCACTAAAATCCACAAAGACAAAGACGTTTGCAGATAGATGGTGAAGAGAGATTATGTCTAATATATTGCAGTCCTAAAAAGGAGGAAGTTGGGCATTAATGGTAAAAGAGATATCTAACAGAGTGTAATAATGAAAAACAGAAACACATGAAAGAATTGTCTGCAGATTCAAGATACAATTCCCTTGTCACCAGAAGATTATCCCAGATGTAAACACCAAGGCCATGCATGTAAATGCTGGAATCTTTTCAGCAAAGGGGAAGATATCCTGGAACTAAGAATTCATTGGTCACAATGGAAGAATTTAAACTGGTTTTCACAGAATGCAAAGATATCTGGCAAATGTTCCAAGAGAAAAGATTCTACACTGCGGAAGTTGGAATGGATACCATATATAATGGAGAAAAAAAGGTTGGGGTGTGAGAGGGCTTAGATTTTTTTAATTTTTTTTTGTTAGATTTTTATATTGTATTTTCCAGTTTTCAAATAAGTTTGTGATATGAGCAATATAAAAAAGGCCATAAAAAAACTACTTAACGGACAAGATCTTTACCTGAGGAGTTTTGTAAAGAAGCCCAGTTCTGTTGTCTTTGATAAGATTGGAGTTCCCTTGAACATCACGAGCTATCACTGGAACGCACAGTTGCATGGCCTAAATTTAAAAAAATAAAAAATAAATAAAAATAAGGAACATTCATTTTCTTAATGTTGTTTGTGATTGGAGAAGCAATCTTGCAAATCACACGAAAAAAAACCATAAACATTTTATATAACTGCAGAGTGATTCAAATCTTGAAAATGGCTAAGATGGTCAACGAAAATACTTGCACTTTCAAGAACACAAACAGGAACTAACACCCTTAATGAAACAGGGTGCATTGTGGTTAGCAAAAGGGACAGCCCAAAGTGAAAATTACAAATTGGGGATAACAAAATCAAACAAGTACAAAAACTTAGATATGTGGCAAGTGTTCTAACAGAAGATGGAAAGTATGACACTGAAATCTGAATATGCACTGCTATAGCCAAATATGCCTTCCAAAAGCTAAGCAGAGTATTTAGAGACAGAAAAATACTGTTAGAAACAAAGAGTACTGAACTGTTATATGATATCTGTGCTCTTTTATGGCAGTGAATGCTGGACAATCTCCTCACAGATGAAGAGACTTCAGGCAACAGAAATGTGGTTCAACAGAAGGATACTAACGATACCACAGACCGAACATATAAGCAATGACAAAGTTTTAGAGAAAATGGATCCAAAAAGGAAACTTATACTTAACATCAAGAAGAGACAGTTGAGGTTTCTGGGATGCATAATGAGGAAAGAAGGTTTGGAAAATCTGATACTCACAGGACAGATTGAGAGAAAAATGCATAACATGTAATGAGCTTAAGTAAATTGATGGCAGAACAGGATTTAAGAGAAATAATGAAAAAGTTTATTAAGAGCTACAAAGGATAGGAAATTGTGGAGAGCCACGATTATCTACATCTTGAGGGGGACATGACACATGCATATTTTTTAACCGGACTTGTGAACATTTTATTAAGTTTTTCTATTGTTTTTTTTTTTTTATGTCAGAATTAACTATCCAAAATTTATTTATTGTATTCATCCTAAGAGCTTTGATTGTCTCCATAGTCATTATGTAAAAGTGCGTTTTATTAGAAGTATCTGTTTAGCAAATTTTCCCATTTCTTAGTCTACTGGGATCAATTTCAGGTGTATACACTCAGCACCTGAAGATTATGTTTGGCATGAAACTAAGTAGTGCAAATAGTGTGGATATATATATATATATATATATATATATATATAGTTTATGTAAAACTAGGTAATCTGTATGGGTAGACCTGAGGAGGATAATATCCAGAGAGCTCAATGTAAATTCAGAGCAAATAAATTTGAAATGAAAAAAAAAAAAAATTTTTTTTTTTTTTTTTTTTTTCCTTTCAACCTATGGAAGTAAAGTCTGATGATCCAGGGCCCTTTAAAAGGGCTGTGGGGAAATAACTTATTACATGGAACCTTAAAGTGGTCTGTTTTTATTCAAAAAAAAAAAATATATATATATATATATATATATATATATATATATATATATATATATATATATATACATACATACATACACACACTTTTACTCAAATAATGTGTCCAAAAAGATTTGGAAATTCTTGCAAAAATCAAATAATTGTTGGGTTTCAATAAAATTTTCAGGACTTTTTCACAAATGAATGAAATTATTTTAAAAATCTTTTAGAAAATCTTAGTAAATTTTGTTTTTATGTATGTTACCCACCCCACACTTAATTTTTATGAAATTTTGAGAAAATTAAATTTCAAGGAGAAAAGTTGTTTTATTAGTTAAAAGCAGGACTCCTTGGAGAATTTAAATTTTTTTTTTAAAACAGGACCCCTAGTTACTGAAAATCTGCTCTGAATCATAAAATAAAAATGCAATCAAATTATGACAATATTTAATTAGAAAAGCTTTTAATTGCGTTTATAAATAAGATTTATTAAGGACATTATTGTCATTAGAAAATTTTTTTTTTCCAACAAATAATTAATTTTTACGAGAATTTTTAAAAAAATTTTAATTAAATAATTTAAATCATTTCAAATTCTGCATTGCTTCAAGGCAGTTAGGTGATATTGTTATTAAGTGAAAACTACATTTATTAATTGAAAAAGCTTATTAAATTTGTTAACCCCCTATATTTTTTTTAAATTTAAAAATTTTTTTTATGTATATATAACATGCCCATTTGAAAGTATGGTCAACCATACATGATATAATCAGAAAATAAGAGCGATGACTATAGTAAATTTAAATTCAGCATTCTTAAAATTAGATTATGAAGAACATTTTCCAACATTATTTACATTATTCAGACTATTGTCCTCATCTTTTGTTGCCATATTTATTACAACGTTTCAGCCGTTGTACGCTCTGGCCTTCTTCAGGTCATTGGAATGTTGAACTGAACCCTTTATTTCGCTCACTTCTAAGTGCCACTGCCTGTATTGACCTCACACTCTTTGGGTCCTGTCACTGTATCTAACCAACACCTTTATCCACTGTGCCACGTGTCCTTGAGGACATCTGGGTATGAATTTCTGGTTATTTTAAACCTAATGTCTTCAGCAACCATTTTTACCAGTGCTCATATTGCAATTTTGGTGTTATCAATTCATGTTTTTACCAGAGCTCATATTGCAACTTTATTTTTATCATTGCTTTTCTCTGGTACTCCTTATTACTGGTTCCCATATTGTATTTATTTCTATGCTTGGTCATCTCAGGAGATTTTTGTGGCCTAGCATATGTGCTGATTCCTTATATTCCTGATATCAAGGACATGTGGCACAGTGGATAAAGGCGTTGGTTAGATCCAGTGACAGGACCCAAAGAGTGTGAGTTCAATACCAGGTTAAGTCAGTGGAGAACTTTCAGAGGGAAATTAACAGGAGATAACCGATATCCATTAAACATGGCACGTAGAACTAGAACAGTCTACCCCAGTGATCGAAATAAAGGGTTCAGTTCGACATTCCAACCACCTAAAGAAGGCTGGAGCATATAATGGCCGAAATGTTGTAATAAATATGGCGACAAAGATGAGGACAATAGTCCGAATAATGTAAATAATGTACATAATACCTCATCTCAGAAATATAGACAGATTTTCCAACATTTTTAAAATTACTGAGTACTTAAAAATTATATAAAAAAGGTGCTCAAGCATCAATTTCTTAAATTATGTTTTAACAGATAAAATTGCCACAAGAACAATGAGCCAGTCGACACTTTTTCAAGTGATTTATCAGGTGCTGATAAGCACTTAATTGCGTTGGTGTTTATTTTAAAAATCCATTTCTGTTATGTTAAACTTAAAATAAGTAATATTTTTTTTTTTAAATCAGCTTAATTAAACTTTAAATCAGCTAATATTTCTCAAATAAAAGGTTCACAAATATATATTTTTTATTTTTGAGAGATTTTTAAAACTCATTTATTTTAAATATTAGATATCAACATTTATATCGAAATAGTGGAGGGATATATATATATATATATATATATATATATATATATATATATATATATATATATATACACACACACACTAGTATTTATTCAAATATTATAATATAAACATGTTATAACATCACTACAAAAACAGCCATTTTGTTTGGTGTCTTATCAAGTGGTGATGTTGATTGCAAAAAAAAGAATTTTAAGAAATTCAAAACCAACCAAACCCCTTCAATAGAGCAAACATTGTTACGTAAGCTATGATGACTAATCAAAATACAAGTATATGATAATTCAAAAAATTTGACAACAGACCCTAAATACAATTTATTAATTTTAATGTTAAATTAAATTAGAAATCAGTATAACTAACTTTTAATTTTACTGTAAAGTTGAAAAATAAAAGTTCAAATTTTAAATTTAACTGTACATTAAGTTTAAAATATTACAAAATTATTCAAAAAAGAAAAGGAGGAAAATATACATTATTTATTGCAAAGTGTCTAATTATCAATTAAATTAAAAGCTGATGTAAGGAGTATCTATAATCAAGGATGTTTCTAGGGTACATAATGAGGAAAGAGGGCTTAGCAAATTTGACACACAATATACTGAAGGCTAGTGACACAATGCAGGCAAGAGCTACAAATGACAGAAAAAAGTAAAGACCTCTAATATGGTTGCTGACATTCCTTCACTAAGGGAGGAGTTGACCAAGGCAAAGCTTGTTTTGATGCAGGCTTGTGTGTCCATTGCTTTCAGGCCAGGGATGTAGACAACACCATCTAAACTAAAAATAAATGAAAATAAAAAATTAAAAAAACTAGGGTGAGTTGTATAATAGACACTGCAAACAGAAATCACCTTTTTTTCATATTACTATAGTTTAATCCTTCCAGATAATGAATATTTAAAACAAAAAAATAGGGGTGGGGTCTAGTTTGTTATGTAAATTAATTGTAATCCCACTGCAAAATATACTCATAAAACAGGATTTCTTAAAATTTTTAAAAAAAATTAAAATTATTATTTTTAGAAATGTAGCATAACATATGAAATAAAGAAACCCTCCAGACAGGGAAATTGTCATTTAGATTTTGAAAATTTTCTTGTTTTAGCATTACTGGCTTTCCGTCAAAACCAAACTGGACAAATGTAAGACATTTTGAATTTGAAAGGGTTAATATAGCAGAAAAACATTTAGAAAATAAAGGCAGAGAGAGAGAGAGTTGGTTTGGTTTGGTTTATGGCATATCAACCTCAGTGGGTTATTTAATGCCTACAAGATTTTTATTGCTGGTAATATTTTGTTTTGTCAAAAATATATTGCTGGTAATAATTATTTTACAAAAATGTATTGCTGATATTAAAATCTATTTTTAGTCTTTCATAGTATTTTGATCCCAGTTTGGGGGTCAAGTATTTGCTCATAGCTATGACCCTAACAGGTACTACCACCCTGGGTCAGAGTGGACTTGGGAACACCAGCAATTAAGAGGTGCTTTCACACTCTTCAAAACCTCCTGATCAGATACCTTGCTGTTGGATATAGTTTATCATCTTACCCAGGGTGGGGAGAGAAATGGTTAATGTGAATGTAGGTTCAATGTTGCCAATATACAGACTTCATTATTAAATTCTTGCAAATAGAACCATGTTGATCATGGCTGAAATGTTACTGAAAAATGAAAATGCATAAAAAATAAAAAAAAAAAAAAAAAAAAAAAAAAAAATAAAAAAAAAAAAAAAAAAAAAAGGATAAAAAATAAATTTAAAAAAAAAAAAAATGGATAAAAATAAATTTAAAAAAAAAAAGTATATAAAAATAAATTTAAAAAAAAAAAAAAAGTAAAAAATAAATTTAAAAAAAAAGTATAAAAATAAATTTTAAAAAAAAAGTATAAAAATAAATTTAAAAAAAAAGTATAAAAATAAATTTAAAAAAAAAAAAAGTATAAAAATAAATTTAAAAAAAAAAAGTATAAAAATAAATTTAAAAAAAAAAAAGTATAAAAATAAATTAAAAAAAAAAAGTATAAAAATAAATTAAAAAAAAAAAAGTATAAAAATAAATTAAAAAAAAAAAAAAGTATAAAATAAATTTTAAAAAAAAAAAAGTATAAAATAAATTTAAAAAAAAAAAAGTATAAAATAAATTAAAAAAAAGTATAAAAATAAATTAAAAAAAAGTATAAAAATAAATTAAAAAAAAAAAAGTATAAAAATAAATTTAAAAAAAAAAGTATAAAAATAAATTTAAAAAAAAAAGTATAAAAATAAATTTAAAAAAAAAAAAAAAATGGATAAAAATAAATTTAAAAAAAAAAAAATGGATAAAATAAATTTAAAAAAAAAAAAAAATGGATAAAAATAAATTTAAAAAAAAAAAATGGATAAAAATAAATTTTAAAAAAAATGGATAAAAATAAATTTAAAAAAAAATGCTTAAAAATAAATAAAAAGTAGGATAAAAATAAATACAAAAAACTAAAAATAACAGAAAATAGCAAAAATAGATTATTTCTTTTTCCAACATTTGTGATATTTCGACCAGTTTCTGTAGTGTAGAATCTTTTCATTTCTCTTTGTAACAAAAATGATTCTAGGGGATACATCATGGTGTTCTTTACTAAAGGCCAAGTCATAGTGCAACTTTCACCAAGAACTGGAGTTCTATGTCAAATCTCATTGTTCCACTGGGAACAAAGTTAGAGTTTGAGCTTCTGTGTGTTCGTTGCTCTAGTCAGCTTAAGAAATATTTGTTTCTTACATTTGGAATAACTTTAGTTTATTTAATTGAAGTAAGATTTTTTTAATTTTATTTCTTTTTGCTATATTGTTTTCATTGCAATAAAAGGAACATTTTTTGTGCAAAGTGCAGTAAAAAAAAAAAAAAAAAATAGGAAACTTGGTTTTGTTACCTGGTAATTAATTGAATATTTTCACTTAAAGCTAATTTAGTATTTTCTCTCTATGAAATTTTTATTCATAAAAAGATGATCAACTTTATTTCTGCATAATTGGTTTCAAAGAAATGAAAAAAAGCAGCCGAAACGTTGTGAATATGGCAATGAAGATGAGGATAACAGTCCAAATAGTGTAAATAATGCAAGTAATCATAATACCTCATCTCAGAGATCCAATCACCTGAAGAAGACCGGAGAGTACAACGGCCGAAACGTTGTGAATATGGCAATGAAGATGAGGATAACAGTCTGAATAATGTAAATAATGCAAGTAATCATAATACCTCATCTCAGAGATATAGACAGATATTGAAAAAAAGCATGTTGAATTCTTACAGAACTTCTTATACTGAAATATATCATTTTTAATTTTACTTGATTTAAAGAAAATTTATTAATCTGATTCTTCCTCGTCTTTCTTATTACAAATGTCACAATGTCTCACCCAAGAAAATAATAACATGCTTATCTTCTAATGGCATTTATCGTTGATTTTGTTTTTACACTGCAAAATTTATTTCTAAATGCTATTATAGGGAGTCCTGCTAAAAATAAAATATAAAAAAAAAAAAATAAAAAAAAAAAAAAATATAAAAATAAAATATAAAAAAAAAATAAAATATATAAACAAAAATTGATTTAAGGCTTTCTTTTAAAACCTTTATCTCTTTCTCTCTCTTTCCTTCTCCTACTATACTTTTCTCAATTGATGAGAAGGCAACTCTCAAATAAAAAAGAGGAAGAAGAAAAGACTGAACCTGACCCAAAATACTGTAAGTTTGCAGCAGCAGAACTTCTTTATTTCTGACTGAAAAATACCAAAAATCATTCTGTCCTCGGTATGATGATAAACTACATTCAGCATTCTTCGTAGGAAGATAAACTACGTCCGATGTCCTGGGTTAAACAATAAACTATTTCCAACAGCAACGCCCCTCATTACGAGATTTTGAGGAGTGTGGAACCACCTCTTAATTGCTAGTGTTCCCAGGTCCACCCTGACCTGGGGTGCTAGCATCTGTTAGGGTCCCAACAATGGGCAAATACTTAAACACCAAACTGGGCACAATGCACTATGAAAGTGTAAAAATAGGTTTTAATACTAGCAATAAATTTTTTGAACGAAAAATCATTACCAGCAATACATTTTTGAAGGAAAAAAAAAAAAAAAAAAATTTTATTGGCAATACATTTTTGAAGAAAATATTACTGACAATATATTTTTGAAAAAAAAAAAAAAAATTACCAGCAATAAAAATCTTGTAGGCACTACATAACCCATTGAGGTGTTGATATGCCATAAAACAAACCAAACCAAACAATAATCATGGAGGATCTATGCATAAATTCAGTTAAAAAAAAAAAATAATTTTGACCAATCAAAAAATTGACAGAGACTTTTGATGTTAACAGAAACCAATGTTCATGCCAAATTCTCAAGCCTGCTCAAAAGGATATAAACCTGACACCGCTGAACTAGAAGCAGAAGAGACAGTAAAAGGATGAATGAGATGCTACCATGTAGAAACCAGCCATGCATGAAGCAGCAGTTAAGAAGTAACCTGCTAATGATATTTCCATCCTGCTTAGGGCTGAGAAAAACTCAGTAGATTGACCTAATTTCTGGGATTACTACAATCCCTATCATAATCTGACACTACCAAAACAGACATTACTCCAAACTGCTATCAATATCTGCCTTATCAACAAACTTTTTGCTACACTAAATACCAAAGGACTTACTCAACACTCTAAAAAAAAATATAAATAAAATAAAATAAAATAAAATAAATAAATAAAACTATATTATTTATTTTAAACCCATGGAGTCACTGATCTTTTTTTGTTTTTTTTTTTTTCCCCAAAGTTTCCACTAAACAATTATCCTACTCACGGCCTATTTACACTGGTGACCACAATGTCGACACATCTTCCACACTTATCTATTACACAAAGTTAATTTAAGATTTTTTTCTGATATTGTTATTCATGATAATTATTTCCAAGATTTAATTTTAGGAGTAATTTGTATTTTTCTTTGTCAATTGTTGGTTCCAGTCCAACTGGGAATGACTGCAAAAAACTTTCCCCTCCCCAATTTATAGGCAGAACCACACAGATGCATGCTGGGATTTCTTCATAACTCACTCCTTGGTTTCATCTGACTCAGTCCCAGTCTGTCTCGTCTTGAAATCAGAAAGACATGTTCGTTTATCTGAATTCACTCATGTCCCAGAAGCAATTCTTAGTTTGTGAACTTTTTGCCTTATTACCTTTGCCTTGCATGTATTGTTCACTTGCTTGACATTCTTTTTTGCCCTGTTCTTTTCTTTGTTATTGCAAACCTTGGCAATTCTGTTTGTTGGACTTTACAGCTATTAACATTTAAGGGCAGTTAAAAAAATATGCTGATTTTAATTTTGGTTACAGTTAAAAGATGGTTGGATTTGTTTTATAGCATACTAGCAGCATGGCCTGGCGTTGCTCGTACTTGATTCAAAAATCATACGACTCGTACAGCAATCGCTATCACTTGACTTTAAATATTTTTGCCCTTCCTTGCCTTTAAACGAGTGCCCTTTGCCATGCTAATGTTACTACATGCCTTACTTATTGCTTATCTCACACTGTGAATTTTTTCTAAGCTCTATATTAAACATTAAATCTGTTACAAAAAAGAACTAAACAAAATGAACACAAAACAATCAGCTTGTAACTGATTGTAAGAACTTGTAACTGGAAAAAACCGAATGAAAAAAGAATACAAAGAAATACTTTTTCACACCCAACCCAGTTCTGCGGAATCACAGCAAGTGAATGAGCCAATTGGAGTAAAGTGCCATGCAGATTTAAATTTTTCCCACTTGTGACAAATGCAGCTATCGATTTTTTTTGCATGTTAGCATGCTAGTTAACATTCATGTCAGTCAGCTGTTGGCTCTTGGCCAATAGAATCTTCCTGCCTATTCGTGACAGCCAGCTATAGGCTCTCACTCTGGCCAGTACAAAATGGCCACAAGCTACATGAAAACTGCCGTAGAAGCATGAAAATATCAATTATTTCCACTATCGATGGGAGTTGGGAAATGCAAAGTCTGTCTTGGCCTTCCCGCTAACTTGGAGCATGTGCATGTAAATTTTGGTGCAAATCTGTCGAAAATTGCGTCCATGCATTCGTTACACACACACACACACACACACACACACTGCCTTTTATAGATAGAGATCAACCTTAATAGGTTATTTAATGGTGACAAGATTTTTATTGCTGGTAATATTTTTTTCTTCATTTACAAAATGTATTGCTGGTAATATCATTTTTTTTTCCAAAATGTCCTTACACGCAAACTGCTAGTGGCCCACTGGCAAGCCACCAATGGCAAAGCCAGCCATCCTCTGGTGGTAGCCACTGGTGGGCCTCCAGTAGTCATAGTTCCGATATGGTTTTTATCTCATTAAAACTGTTTCAATATGAATAATTAATTCAAACATTAAAAGGGCATATGATATTTTGTATACCCTCGTTAACGTGGTAAAAAGTGATGGATATAAATTTCAAATTATATATTAATTCTGTCTATATCCCCGAGATGAGGTATTATGATTGAAGTAAGAGTACAAGAACATCAGAAAGTGGTAACATGAGGGGAAATAGAAAAATAAGACATAGCTGACCATATATGGAGGGAAAAAAAGAGATCACCGCCTCCTGTGGGATGAGGTTGAAAAAATAGAGAGCATCACTGGAAAATATGAAAACTTAAGAAATCAGCACATATGCTAGGGCAAAACAATTTCCTGAGCCAACCAAGCATAGAAATGAATACAATATGAGAACCAGTAATAAGGAGTGATAAAGAAAAGCAATGAATAACAACAAAGATTGCAATGATTTTAATAATAACAGACAAAAATTGCAATATGAGCATTGGTAAAAAATGGTTGCTGAGACATTAGGTTTATAAGTCCTAGAAGTTCATACATAGATATCCTCAAGGCAGAAGTCCTAGTGGATAATGACATCGGTTAGATCCAGTGACTAGACCTAAAAAGTTGTGAGTTTAATACCAGGCCACAGCAGGGGTGAACCTGGAGTATCAAATTAAAGGGAAATGACTGAAATATCTGGAAGGTGCATGGCACGTGGAACTAAAAAAAAAAATCTAGAATTAAACAAAGGGTTCAGTTTGAAATTTCAATCACCTAAAGAAGGTGGAGTGTACAATGGCCAAAACATTGTGAATTTAGCAATGAAGATGAGGATCACAGTGTAGTAAGAAGTTAGTAAAGAAAAAACTATACCAAGATAAAGAGGATTAACTTTACCAAATTAATTGGTAATTAATCTCTACTTTTTTTCTTAAACTGACTAAATCAACAAACTACCATAAATCCAAATGAAAACTAAAACTCTCTGCTCCCAGTGGAATAACAAGATTTCAGATAGGTCTCCAGTTCTGGCTAAGAGTTGCACAATGCCTTTAGCAAAGAACATCTGGTATTGTGCTTCTGGTATGTATCTAGAGATTCTTGACAAAATTCAACACATCATGACTGAGGGTTTGTGCGTACTGACCTTCTCCAATCATTGATCATTTCAAATTTGGGTTGTGCTGGGCAATTTTTCTTGCCAGGATCTTTCTTATACATTTATAACTACATACATTGAATATTACTGCCACACCTGGTTTGGTGCTTCTGCTATGTGTTTAGAAAGTCTAGATAAAAAATACAAAGAAGAATCTGCAATGTTATTGGTTCTGACCTGGCATCTCGGCTTCAGTCAATTTCCCATTGTTGTAACTTAGCTTCCCTATGATTCTTCTATAAATAGTTTCACAGTAATATTCCTGATGTGCTGTCTTCTATAGTAACTAGACTTCACAAATTTAAGTGCAGTACTAGATTGGCAGATAGGTCTCAATGTCATTGTTGAAATTGCTAGTTGTAACTAAGTTCTATGTTAATACCTTCTTCTCTCACCGTTCTTGTGTCAATGAACTCTTGTTTGACTTCCTGCTTTGCTGTCAGCTACAATCTTCCAAAATTTAAATGCAATGCCACACATCATCTTCAGTCTCTTTAAATCATGTTCTTTTATTGTCCTCTCTGTTTTTTCACTCACAATAGACCCTTGTATCTTAGTGGCTTTATCGCCTTCCTTGGAGTGAATGATTAAAGAAGAAAAAGAAAAAAGTATGTATCAATCTGGAAAAAATTAAAGAAATCTATAAATAATAATAATAATATGGCAATTTCTAACAGTAAAGGAACCAGAAATAGGATTACCCCCACTTGGTTTTGTCAGATGTCAGTAGGTGGCGCTGTTGAAGTCTATAAAAAAGGCAAACATTTTCCTGCCTCACTCTTTCTCCTTTTCGCTCAAAGATGGAGAACCATGTGGTAATTACATCCCCGCTGGAGAATGTCAGTTTCCTCAGGTCTACTGACAATTTTACTCCCCACCCCCAACATTTTAGGATGCGTTTTGGCACCACTACTTATGAAGTGTGGCAAAATAAAAAGAAAACAGCAACCAGCAAGTAAATTCAAGCTCTCCCAACTGGTATTCCAACCTTGAGTCGTTCCTTCTTGAGTTCTGTCTCAAAATCGCACTAACAGACTTTTCCAGCCACCAACCATAAACGTCACTCAAAGAACGCCCCACTGGGAAAAATTAGTTGCTTTTATATTTGTCCATATACCCATAATCCCTTGCGTCTTCATGCGATCCCTTAATTCATTGCGCCCCTGTCCCATAATGCATTGCATCTTTATTGCATAAAAATGCAATGCAAGTCCCCCCTCATTCTTTTACGTTATCTGGCCGAGGACGGATTACGGCAGAGCGGTAAGTGCTTTTTTCCCCCTCATTTCAACTGCAGTAGCTTTACATGCTAAGCAAATATGGGTTCTTTTTTGGCGAGGGACAAGGCAATTCACAACCAGTTGTGCTCGTCCCAGGTTCTGTCTCATCACGTCTGCCACTAAGTGAGTTAGTCCTTCCAAATCAGTGCAAGGCTGACTTGAGATTGACTATTTGAAACACTGTTATCCTGACATACTTCTGAATTTAAAAAAATAAAAAAGCAAACAACATACCCAAGAGACATTGAGGACATTTTTTCACAAGTCAACAGAATAAACAGTCTGTAATAGAAAGTCCAATTTTTGTATACTTCTTTGTCCATCATATGGACTTGCATACATTGAAAATATATGGAAACACACAACTGTTTATCTTCCATAAATCATAAAAATCTCCATACACTGTACACATTACAAGAATAAAAAGTACTACTCACTTTTTTATTTTTTTTAGAAATTCCTGGCAATAAGCTTCATCCAACTGTAAAAGGTAAAAAAGAAAACATATATACATACACATATCTATATAAGTGAACATTAAAGTCAACAGTTAGAGACAACAGGCCGTTTCATGCTAGACGCAATCGTCTGGCCTGATGACTGCATCTACTTTGAAGCAGCCTGTCACCTCTAAGTGTTGACTTCAATATTCATTGTTTATATAAATTTCTGCCGTATTAGTTGTTATTTTTACTACAAGCTTTCGCCTGTTCCTACAGACATCTTCAGGTATATAATAGATGTTGTTCTTGTTTTTTTCTCTTAGTAATAAGAGGACATCGAAAATATATGTGTATTGTATCCGAAATGCTATTAAAAATGAGTTATTGGTTTTTGAACGCGCCAAAGCAACGCTGAGTTTGATTTTAAATTTTTTAAAGTGTTTGCGTTTATACCAAATATGGTGATGAACAAATGTTTTTACTGGTAAATTTTACTGTCAAAGTGGCATGAACTATATTGTTCAATAATTACAGTAATGTCGCACTTATTAACCAAAAGTTGCACATGGATCAGTTATTTAAATTACAATAAACGTGCAATCAATTTACAAATACATGAATTATTCACACAAAACTAATGCAAAGGTTAATGATTTAAATGGCGTAGACATCCATCTAAGAGAAAAAAAAAGAACAACATCTATTATATACCTGAAGATGTCTGTAGGAACAGACGAAAGCTTGTAGTAAAAATAACAACTAATACGGCAGAAATTTATATAAACAAGGATCAACTCATGCATAACGGATCTGAGGTTTTTGTGTACTATTTGAATCGTTTATAGATGGATGTCTCGCCATTTAAATCATTAACCTTTGCATTAGTTTTGTGTGAATAATTCATGTATTTGTAAATTGATTTAATATATTATTATATATATATATATATATATATATATATATATATATATACATCGTTTGATGCTAACTCCAGAATTAGCATGGATGAACTTGACAGAAGAGTGAAAAAAAAAATAAAAATATAAAATAAAAAAAAAAAAGCTCTTAGAGTCATTGAAAAAAGAATAGAATCAATTATCAAACTTATACTCTGAGAAGCTTTTTCAACAAATGGCAAAAATTTGTGCTGCAGTAATCAAGGCTAAAGGAGGATATTTTGATGAGAGCAAAATTTAATCATAAAATGCTTCTTTTTTTTTTTTTTTCTTCTTTTTGTCATCATAAAATTTCTAATAAAAAATCATACCTCTTAAATTACCAGGGATTCCCTCAAACTTTTGAACTGTGTGTGTATATATATATATATATATATATAAGATTTCTCAGAGTTAACCTGTAGAAAAAGACAATATTTATAAATGTAAAAGACAATAGGAAAACTGTAATAGAAAATAACTCACTTAGAAGGAAAATCCTCGAGAGTGCCGCCATTGAATATTACCCAAATATTAATCTACGTCCAAGCTTTTTCCCTATTTCACCTTTCTTATCAAAAAGAAAATTGTTGAATCCATCAATACAGCAATAAAAACAATATCTCCACACATGACAGTAATTGACATAATTTTCAATTAACAGTATGAAAATAGTGTTCTCTAAATTTTTCCAGTTGTTAAGGACATTTTGTTTTTGTTATTATTAGTTACTTTGTTTAATAAATTCATTTCATCTTGAGAAAGTTCACATCAGAAAAAAACATGTCAGCAACTATTAGTTTTCCTATTGTCTTATATATATATATAAAATTCATCTGACCAATCCTAATAATGGCAAATTTCCTAAATGAGTCAGTCCTTAATGAGTATCATGTAAAGTGACTTTGCTATTTGTTTTGGTGGGGGAACAACGTTTGGCCAAATAATTAGGGTTTACTAGATGATAGAAGGTTCTTCTGTATCCATTATACTCACAAGATTTAACATCCAGAGATTTTCATTTGTTTCGGTCACTTGAACGTTTCATAAGCGGCAGAATCTTCAGAAGTAAAGAAGTTGAAAAGAGCCTTTTAAATTTTTCTTTTTAACCCTTTAGCATTCAACCTGTCCAAACCCACCCCATAAATACCGGCTCTCAATGTTCAACCCACCCCATGTATACTCTGCCATACTATATATCATCACAAATAATATAGGAAGTCACGTGAACAATGAGACATTGACCATAGTGAGACTTCAAAAGCCAATATTTAAGGATGGGTTTGATCATGTTGAATACTGAATGATCTGATGTGTAGATGAAAATATGGCTTACTGTTGAACATGAAAATAATTACATTTTTGATAATATTTAAGTTATATTTGTTTTTAGAAACTTTCTGGAAAAACGTTGTTAGTGGGTGTTGGCAATCTCCGGTCCACATACAGCCTGCGAATGATTTTTGTCCGGCCTGCCAACTTAACACCTGGACACTATTTATTTAATTAATATGTGGAGAAAGTGGCAGAAAAAATATCAGTTGGAGTTAATAGACATACAATGTGACAAATTTTTAAAATCAAAATCTCATTCTGAATCCACTGCTGATGTCAACAAGAAATATGTTTTGCCAAGCGGAAAATATAAAAGCCGATTGAATAATGCGAAAATTATGGTATCATTATTTAGAAGTACATATGCTTGTGAACAACTTTTTTTCAAAATGAAAGTCGGTTAGGAACAAGGCTGGTTGATGACCACCTTCACGATTTACTCCTGTCATCAACAAATATTTCACCTGTGGTGAAGTTATCAAGCAATAAACAGAAACAAGTGTCCATTAAATAATATGCCATTTCTAACTGTATTTTGTTTGGAGTAAGGAATTTGCATTTTGAGTTAGTCGTTATCCTGCAGTAAAATAAGGAATCTACTTTAAATAATATTTTGTTATTTTTTTCTTCAAACTTCCAGACCGAGGAAGCCTGCTGAATGAAGCTGTCCAAGATCGAGAATTTATTATAGTACTAGCAGCATGGCCCGGCGTTGCCTGTGCTTGATTCAAAAATCGTACGACTGTTGAGATGTTGTGAGTTTCCCGCGTGTCGGTGTATGAATTAAGACAAACACAGTTGTAGAGGAAAATACTGGTATATTCATAAACGCAATTAACAATAGAGTGATTAATAGAACGAAGGTTGGTTGAAACGAAACAATATCCAAAGTCTATAGTCCAACGGTATGTACCGGTAAGCTTATCTGGACTGCTCACTGACTCTCTCTCTCTCTGACGCTCCCCACTCTCCAGAGCTGACTTATATAAGAGGGACCAGTCCATTACTAGTTAGAAGGTGGGTGCGCCCCAACAACGACTCATACAGCAATCGTTATGACTTGACTTAAAATATTGTTGCCCTTCCTTGCCTTTAAAGGAGTGCCCTTTGCCATGCTGATGTTGCTACATGCCTTACTTCTTGCCTATCTCACACTGCGAATTTTTTCTAACCTCTATACTAAACATTAAATCTGTTACAAAAAAAAGAACTAAACAAAATGAACACAAAATGATCAGCTTTAAAAAAAAAGGACTCATAACTGGAAAAACCGAATGAAAAAAGAATGTTAACAACAAATACTTTTTCACACCTGACCCAGTTCTGCGGAATCAGAATCAACGTTGATTTTTGAACAAGCGAATGAGCCAATTGGAGTAAAGTGCCATGCAGATTTAAATTTTTCCCCACTTGTGATGAATGCAGCTATCGATTTTTTTGCATGCTAGTTAACATTCATGTCGGTCAGCTGTTGGCTCTCACGCTGGCCAATAGAATCTTCCTGCCTATTCGTGGCAACAAGCTATTGGCTCTCACTCTAGCCAGTAGAAAATGGCCGCAAACTACATGAAAGCTGCCATAGAAGCATGAAAAAAAATTGATTATTTCCACTATCGATGGGAGTTGGGAAATGCAAAGTCAGTCTTGGCCTTCTCGCTAACTTGGAGCATGTGCATGTAAATTTTTGGTGCAAATCCATCGAAAATTGTGGCCGTGCATGAGAAATATACACACACACATGTTCTGCCTATATATATATATATATATATATATATATATATATATATATATTAGTATTGAGTACTTTTTATTATTTTAGCTGGTAGGGAGAGCTTTACCTTTGATTGTGGTAGATGCTATTTTCAGTACGCTAATTATTTTATTAGATGCTTTGTCAGTACCCTAATTAATTTATATTCAATGTTTTGGGGTTTTTTTAAACATTTCACCCCAAGAAAGTCAGAAGTGCCATTATCACACAGGGGGTTATGGAGAGTGAAAATGAGAGAAAAGAGTGGGTGTGGGGGGGGATTGAAGAAAGGAAAAAAAAAGAACAGGTACCAAGGCAACAAAACATGGTGACTGATGTTGCATTTTAGGTTTTTGATGATTGTAGTTATCAGGGAAGCAAGTGAGAGGAATGGAGTTCCAATATGGAGAAGTATGAGGAAAGAAACTGTTAGAAGGGCGGTTACATTTAACTATTTCAACAGTAAAAAGTTGGGACCTAGATGCCAATCTAGTAGTACACTTAAATTCATGTAGTCAGGGCACCAGGAAAAATGCTCATCAGTGCAGTAGCCATGAAAATATTTGTAGAAAAAGACTGAGGGAAGCCACATCACGTCTGTGAGAAAGCGGCTGAAGTCAAGAAGCTAATTCAGTACCGATTACATTACAGATCCTACTTTTAGATTTTTTGAGAATATTGCAGTAAGGGAAGGTAGGGGAAAATTTTATGGATAAAACTTTAATTGTAAAAGTAATAAAAAAATCACAGAAATGCAATCTATGTTGTTATTCATTTAAACATCATCATCATTTAATAGTAATAAAAATAAAATATTATATATATATATATATATATATTTTAAGCAATAATAATAGTAATAAAAGTAATAGATACACACATATACAATATATACATACATATATATATATAAACTTACATAGTTACAAACCTAATATATATTTTAGTATAACATTTAAGTATAATTTCATTTCTCTGGTTCAATAACTGGCTTGTATTTTTGTACTTAATTATTTTAATTTTTTCTTCCAGGCATAGTTTGCATCTGCTTATATATATATATATATATATATATGTGAATTAAGATCAAATATAGATAGGAATGCAAGAGAATGATAAGATAAGGGACAAATAGGAAATCTTTATAAATCTGACATGCTTTGTTTTATTAACACTTGGGGAAGGTGAGAGCGGGAGGACATCGCTCTACCCCGGAGCCAAGAAATCAGCTGTATTTATGTCGGCTGCGATAGCATCGTAGCCGATTGGCAATATCTTTTGCTTGATAACTAAAAATTAACTTAAGCATTTTGACTGTACACATGGCTTTCATTTGGACACCGTGTGTATTTAAAGTATTTTCCGGTTATTATTTTTAGTTAGGAGGACTTGTGTATGTTTATGTTTAATTTGTTTTACTTTTTGTGTATCGTTCTCAGAAAAAAATATGCTGAGTCACCGGAAGTTAATGGCATTCGGACGTTTGAGTAGCCAGCAGTAACTTCCATCTGGGTGCGATACCCTTAACCGTGCTTTCAAATTGATTTCATGCAAAAACAAATGTGTTTTTCCAATTTTTGGTGCTGTCAGAACCACCATCGGGTAAGTTTACATAGTCCTGTGAAGTTTTGTTGAAATCGGTTGAAAAATGTAGGAAATACGATCCCATATATAAACGAACAGACACACACACACACACAATCTGCGTTTTACAATAAGTAAGATTTTTGATATCATGGCCCTCGTCTAAGTCAGTGCATAGCTTTTTGGCACAACTCTTCAAAAGGTTGCCAACTTCAGCCCTAATGTTTCAATGAATTTCTCTTGGATTATCTTTTATATCTATTCTGGTAAAATGTTATTGCTTTTCAAACACACGAATATTTTTAAAAGAGTATCAAAGATTTTTATCCTGGTCTACTTGTATTATAATTATTCATGCTTAATACACAGCCCTAATTTTGCACGACAAAATTCTGAACAAAATATAAAAATAAAACATTTCTTGTGTATACTAAGACAAGACTTTTTACAATTTGTAAAGTCAAATAAAATAAGTATATAGTTTAAATAAGACTATATAGTTTACATTCATTTTTAAAATGCATAATTTATGTCAGATAAAAACAAATAATGGTTGCACTTAAAAAAAAAAAAAAAAACCTTTGTTTTTCTTCAAAAAGCTCATGGCAAAAACAAAAACCTTTGGTTTTCTTCAAAAAGCTCATGGCAAAAACAAAAACCTTTGGTTTTCTTCAAAAAGCTCATGGCAAAAAAAAAAAAAAAAAAAAAAGGAAGAAAAGAAAACTGAACCAGGCTGAAAAATGCCAGAAGTCTACTAATTTGTGACTGAAAATTTACAAAAATCACAGAGGATCCATAGATAATTTCTGTTATAAACAAAAAAATTGAAAAAGAAATGAACGTGTGAAAATAAAATAATTTGGGAGAATCAAAAAATTAACAAAGAACAAAGATATGTTTAATGTTAGCTGAAACCAATGTTCATGCCAGAGTCTTGGAGCCTGGTCAAAAAGATATAAGACTCATACCTCTGAGCTTGATAAGAAGAAAGGACAGCAAGAGATGAAACAAGAGGTGCTACCGCAAGAGAAACAAGCCATGTATGAAGGTCATCTGCTAATCATATTTCTGCCCTGCTTAGGGTTGAGAAAAAACACAGTAGATTGACATTGACCTAGTTCTAATATGACTACTACTACTACTACTACTACAGGTAAGGTCTGACAATGAAACTATTGACTACCTGACCAAACATTTCTCCAGACTGCTACCAATATCCACATTATAAATAAACATTTTACTACACCAAATATCAAAGGACTCTCACTAATCTAATTCAAATAAATAAAAATATGTTATTTATTTTATACCCTTGCATCAGTTCATTTTTTTTTTCTTCTCCAAAGTTTCCAGTAAAGAAACTCCTTGCAAAACACCACAAAATCAAATCAAGATTTCGCCTAAAGTGCGTAAGAAACATTTGAATCAACTGAATATACAAATTTGAAAACATTAAATGTGCTACAAACATCTAGAAAATTTTCAACTTACGCAAGGTCCCAAAATGACAAATAAGGATGTCGGATGGTTGCAATGCCAATCTGGAAAAAAAATAAAAATCTATTTTAGCACTCCATTCTTTAGCACTGTTGAAAATGATATCAGTTATCATCAGAAATCATTTAAAGTAATAACAGAAAAAAAATTTCATTTAATTTTACAAATAACCATTAGAAAAAAATTGAAATAGATCAAAAAAAAAAAAATTGAAATTCTGTATTGATCTTGTGGCAAAGAGAGACGATTATTTCAATCTAAAAGGAATAAGACTTCCTTTTCCTATATTAATATAGTAATTATTTTGAGTTCCATTCTTAAATTGCAAAGATATACTGTAGAATTTCCCAAACCCAAAGCTTGTTCATACAAGTTTTTAAAAATCACTATCACAACAGAATGCAGATTTTATTGCAGTTACAAGTTTCTTTTTGTAATTTACCCCTGAGGATGATCTTAGAAAAGATCAAAAATATTTGTGTAAAAAAAAAAAAAAAAAATAAATAAAAAAAAAAAAAGTGTCTACCTTGATGAATTTCAGCTTAATAGGTCTATATTAGTTAAGTAAACAATGTTTAAATGAATAAATGCTGCATATATATATATATATATATATATATATATATATATATATATATATACACACACACACACACGTTTCATTAAATAATATAAGTGTTGTCTATTTATTTTATGTAAGTTTTTTCATAACGTCTGATAAGTTTAATAACATTATCGTTGAATGAAGAAAGAAATTCACAATATTGATCCATATTTTTTTAATACAATCTAAGCTTTTGGCTCACATAAGCTATTATCAAAGATGTCAATTACAACATATTAAGCAATATACAGACAAGACAGTGATGATAGTCTGTTATTGTTTACATAGATGATTTCTAAGCAACAATAAACACGTGCATATAAGACGCTAGAAGCGAAAATTGCACTGCATCTCATGACGTCACATATGACCACACAAGAGTGAATTGGAGAAGTATGAAGTATGGGAAGCCATTGGTTTATACCAATGGCTTCTGTTACCAATTATAGACATTTAAGAATATTTGTAGAGATGCCATAATTGATTTTCTTTAGGTTGGGTTTCAATTGTTTGATGTATAATGCTTCAAGGATTTTTAGTTTTTGTCTATTGTTTTCATGTTGAAGTATAATTGTGTTTTCGACAAGTATTTTACGGAATTGTGTGTGCAGGCAGGCATGTTGTTTTAAATGCCTAAAAATGTTAGAGTTTTCAGTGTGTGTATATATATATATATATATATATACATACACACACAAATGGCTTCCCATACTTAATACTTCTTGTTTTCACTCTCACATTATCACGTGTGACATAATGAGCTGCGGTGTGATTTTCATTTCCAGCGTCTCATATGCACAAGTTTGTCGTTGCTTGGAAATATTCCATGTAAACAAAAACAGACTATCATCATTGTTTTGTCCGTGTATTGGTTAATATATTGTAATGTAATTGTCATCTTTGATAATGGCTTATATAAGCCAAAAGCTTAGACAGGATTAAAAAATACTTATCAATATTGTGATTTTCTTTCTTCTTTTAATGATAATGCTATTAAGCTTATCAGACAATACGAAAAGAATTTACCTAAAATAAATAGACAAAATTTGTCTATATTATTTAATGAAACATGCATCAATATATAAACAAATAAATAAACAATAAAACAAAATAACCTTATTTGAAGAATAGTCTATTTAGGTAGATGAAAATATTGGTCATCTGTCTTATTAACCCTTAACTCAGTCCACACCAGGGTGGATAAGATAGACAACCAATTTCTTCATTTTCCAAAGCATGTTATTCCCCATTTTGGGGGATTTTATTGTTTATTAATTATTTGCTCTGTAATAATAATAACAACATTGAGCTCTTTTTTTGTGGATCAGTTTTAATATTTTATATTACTGGGATCTACTTGTTTACCAATAGATTTATTATATATATATATATATATATATATATATATATTTGACATAGTTTACACATCTTATTCCTGATGTTAAATGACTGGTCTTTTCTCAATACATCCCATTTTAAAATGCTCTCATTCACCAGTTGAGCACTATGGGTAAAAGGAAATTTTTAATGGCTGTTGCTGCTTTAATGCATTGCTCTTTGTGAAAATTGAGCACTTTGGAAACCCATATAGCATTTGTATGCATCATGTATATAATGCATTAAAAGTTTTCCATTTCTCTGCGATGTGCCAATTGCCTAGGGGTAAGGGTTTCTGATTGATGTCAAATCGGTCAAGTTTTGATCCCGACTTGAGACAATCAGATGCCTAGCCACACTGATGAGCTGCAATACAGCAAAACAGTCTGTGGATGACTATATATATATATATATATATATATATATATCAGGCGGATTGACAATTGCGACCAGCATGAAACAGCCTGTTGCCTCTGAGTGTTGACTTCAATGTTCACTTTTATATTTATATATGCTCTATCTCTGATATTGAGCACTTTATCCATAAATATAGCACACCTTAAAACACATTATATATATATATATATATATATATATATATATATATATATATATATATATATATAATGTTTAATTAAATAATATAGACAAGTGTTGTCTATTTATTTTTAAGCAAATTCCTTTCATATCATCTGATAAACTTAATAACATTATCATTGAATGATGAAAGAAAATCACCATATGGATACATGTTTTTTTAATCCTATCTAAGCTTTCGGCTTACATAAGTCATCATCAGAGACGATAAATACATACAACAAATTAAACAATACACAGACATAGAAACAATGATAGTCGGATGTGTTCCATGGAACACATCCAAGCAATGACAAACTTGTGCATACAAGCCATTGGAAGTGAAAAATTGCACCACAGCCCATGACACCACACATGACCACGCGAGAGTGAAAAAGAGGAATATTAAGTTTGGTAAGCTGTTGATATAAACCAATGGCTTCTGTTATCAATTATAGGCATTTAAGAATATTTGTGGAGATTTCATAGTTTATTTTGTTCAGGTTAGGTTGTAACTGTTATATATATATATATATATATATATATATATATATATAGCTTCAAGAATTTTTAGTTTTTGTTTATTGTTTTCATGTTTAAGTATAGCTTCTTTCTTCTTTCAATTGTAATGTTATTAAGCTTATCAGACGATATGAAAGGAATTTGCTTAAAATAGACAAAACTTGTCTATATTATTTAATGAAACATGCATTAATGAAAAATGCTGCTAAAAACAATTTATACAAAATTTATATATATAATAAATATATATATATATATATATATATATATATATATATATATATATATATATATTTATAAGCTTAATAATGTTACCATTGAAAAAGACGAAATAAGCTATACTTAAACATGAAAACAATAAACAAAAACTACAAATTCTTGAGGCTATATACATAAAACAGCTGAAACCTAACCTGAACAAAATAAACTATGAAAACTCCACAAATATTCTTAAACGCCTATAATTGATAACAGACGCCATTGGTTTACACCAATGGCTTCCCATACTTAACACTTCTCGTTTTCACTCTCGCATGGTCATGTGTGGTGTCATGGGCCGTGGTGCGATTTTTGCTTCCAATGGCTTGTATGCACAAGTTTGTCATTGCTTGGATGTGTTCCCTGCAAACAAAACAGACTGTCATTGTTGCTATGTCTGTGTATTGTTTAATTTATTGTAATGTACTTATCTCTGATAATGGCTTATATAAGCCAAAAGCTTAGATAGGATTAAAAAAACATGTATCAATATGGTGATTTTCTTTTGTCTTTCAATGATAATGTTATTAAGCTTATCAAATGATATGAAAGGAATTTGCTTAAAAATAAATACACGACACTTGTCTGTATTATTTAATGAAACATGCATTAATGAAAAAAATGCTGCCTAAATACACACAATTTATATAAAAAAAAATAAATATATATATATATATATATATTTTCCTTCCCATGCAAGGCAGTAAAGCCACTAGATAGCAATTAACATCGCATTAAAATTTTTGCAGGTTAAAGTTGGCTGGAAAGCATGGAGCTGGAAGAGCGTTTCACAAGCAAGAAGTATGAGAAAAACTGTTTGCATAGAATTTACAGCTCCGTCTCGGCAGCTCGTCTAAATTGAGGAGAGCTCAACACCAGTCTAGTACTGCACTTAATACCATCACAAAAAGCTCGTTCGGATAATTACCATGAAAATACTTATAGAACAGGCACAGGCAGGTAACCTTATGGCGGTGGGAAAGTGGCTGAATCCGAGCTGCCAGATCAGGACCAAAAATATTGCTCTTCTTTAGATTTTATCAATGATCAAGATAAATAGGAGGGGGCAATGGACCATAAGTGTTAGCAATATTCTTAGTCAGTGTTATTAGGTTTTGATCTGCTCCTTGGGATGGACATTATTAAGGAGCTGGGCGGCATACACATCACAGAGGCGGGCGAAGTTGAGTTTTCTGATCCGCCCATCTGTGCTGCCTTGAGGATTAATGAACCTGACTTCAGTGCAATTTTCGACCAGCGCAGGTGTGTATGGACCACAACGTGGAAGTGGGCAGGTGGACAAACGCCCATGCCACTGAAAAATAAATGATTTCGTCTCTTTCTCTCCTGCTGTCGTAGCGACGGACGCAGTCTTCACTTCTGCGACTGAAAACTGCCCTCTTTCTCATTCCAGCCGTTTACATAGAGAGCTTGGTAACTCACCTATGCAAAACACCAACAAGCCAGGTACCAATCACAGTTCCCGCGCCTGCCCACCTCCACTAGCTTTGGGGTTTCAAGTTGACCAACCAACTCATTACAATTCTAAGCATGGGCAAATAGTAGACTTCTAGATATGTATGATAGATTCTGGAGAGAAAGATCGTCCTGCAGGACACAGTAAACCAAATTAGTAGCTGATCTAGCAATGGATTCAATATAATCTTTCCACTTCTTGTCAGCTGAGGATGTTAGCCCAAGAAGGTGCAATGAGTCACTTTCCTAAAGGTTAGCATCAGCCATGCTGATGGAAGGCAGATAGAGGTCTTTCAGATGATTAACCCTAGAACACTAACCCTCAATTAAAGTTACACGACTATTAACCATGGGTATATCATACCTGATTTTGAAAATATCAAAATAAATATTAAATATAAATCTTTATTTGAAATATTTTACATGCAGGCACTTCAAACTTTGTACTTTCAGTTAACATTAATAGGAACTGAAAAACATTATTTAGGTAAGAAAATCAGGTACTGAAAATTGTAATTAAAAATAGGAAAATTTGCGCTGGGTACTATATACCCATGGTTAGTGTTAATGGAGAGAAATTTAGTTTTGGAGATGTTAAAATTAACAAGTCATATTTTGCCCCAGTTAACAATAGTCTTGAGGTTGTTTTGTACATCAGCTGCCATTTTGACCATGACTTCCTATCAAGACAAGAGTAAATGGTTGCGTCATCAGTATAGATACCAAGTTGAGAGCTGAGGTCATCAGAAAGGTCATTAAATAAAATTAAAAACAAAGTAGGACCTACAGTATCTGTCTGTTTCCGAGATGAGGTATTATGTACACTATTTACATTATTCGAACTATTGTCCTCATCTTTGTCGCCATATTTATTATGTTTCAGCCGTTGTACACTCCAGTCTTCTTCAGGTGGTTGGAATGTCAAAATGAAACCTTTATTTCACTAGCTGGGGTAGACTAAACTAGTTCTACGTGTCATGTTTAATGGATGTCAGTTATCAGTTATCTCCTGTTAATTGCCCTCTCAAAGTTCTCCACTGCCTCAACCAGGTATTGAACTCACCTTCTTTGGGTCTTGTCACCGGATCTAACCAATGCCTTTATCCACTGTGCCATGTGTCCTTGAGGGTATTATAAACCTAATGTCTTCAGCAATCATTTTTTTTTTTTACCAGTGTTCATATTGCAATTTTTGCTGTTATCATTTCCGTTTTTACCAGAGCTCATATTGCAATTTTTGTTGTTATAATCACTTTTTCTCTGGCACTCCTTATTACTGGTTCCCATACTGCATTCATTTCTATGCTTGGTCAGCTCAGGAGATTTTTGTGGTCTAGCATATGTGCTGATTTCTTAAGTTTAAATTTTCCAATGATGTTCTTTCTCTGTGATTTCAGCCTGATCCCAGAGAGGACGGTGATCTCCCTTTTCTCTCCATATGTGGTCAGCCATGCCAGATTTTTCCACTTTCCTTTGTGTTACAGCTTTCTGGTGTTCTTGAAGCCTTACCTTAAGTGGGTGGCCTGTCTCCCCTTTATTTTAAAGTAGGACCTAGGATGGAGCTTTGAGTGGTGGGTGGGGGAACCTGTATCAGCACAAAATGATCTAGAAGAATGGCCATTCAGGATAACTTTCACTTCATGATTTGATAGGAAAGACTGGATCAATTCAAAAATGTGTCCAGAAACACCATAACTTTTCAACTTGTGGAAAAGAGACTGTATATTAAATAAACACTGTCAAAATCTTTACCATTTATTCACCATTTATATCTACAATATGATAGACTATTTCCACAATTATCAGTACTTCAGCAGTTGACCTGGTGAAATGTAAGCCATATATATATATGAATATAAATCTTTTTCAAAACTTACCAGCAAATGCCTCCACAAGAAACAAAGGGTCTTTGACTGGCCGGATGCCGCTGACCAGCAAAAAAACGTCTAATGAATCAGCAGGTGAAAGGAGGTGACAATTGGTTTCTAAGTAGGATGACAAAGAGAAGTCAGAAGGTACTGTAGCAACGGCTGAAGAAAAAGAGAAATAAAAATGGTAATCATCGCAGAGTAGAGTATAAGGATTACAGGGGGAGAAAATAGCAAGTAAAACCAAAAAGATGAGGATACTAGCCTGAATAATTCATAGATTCATAAGACTTCATTTTAGGTAATACAAGAAGGCTGGAGAATGCCTTGGTTAAAATGTAGTGATCAAAACAACAAAGATGAGGATACTAATCTGAATAATTCATGGAAGAAGACTTCATCTCAGACCTTCAGACAATGCAAGACGACAAGAGAATGTATTGGCTGAAATGTAGTGATCAAAATAACAAAGACACAGATACTAGTTTGAATAATTAATGGAATACAAGACAAGACTTCATCTCATGCCTTCAGACAATATTAGGACATGTGAAAAAAACCTTCCAATACAAATATTATGATAAAAACAACAGACATAAAGATACCAGTCCAAAAAGCAAAGATACTTCCTTGCAAAAAATTCAAACAATATTTTCTGTTTCTGATGACACAAGTCATATTTTCTGCAAGAGTGATTCCCACTGATATGGAAGACTTAAAAGACATGCAAGTGACCTTTATGTAAAATGTTCCACGATAGCCGAATAATGAAAATTCAAAAAGTGACAACTTGCACTTTGTTGCTTGGAAATTCACAAAATTTTAAAAATGTCACCTTATGGAAGCTAGACCTCAAAATAGCTAAAAGTTGGATTTAAAGTTATTAATAACAGACATGGAAAATAAACCACAGAAACTCCTACAAAAAGGGAAAGGGAGAAGAAAGGACTAATTATCAAATTTAACATGACAATGTATAGTTGTCATCAAGTGGATTAACCTAGAATCTCTATCTATAAAAGGGAGGGTGTGTGTAACGAATTTTTGACAGATTTGTACCAAAATTTACATGCACAAAGTTAGTGGGAAGGCCAAGACTGATTTTGCATTTCCCAACTCCCATCGATAGTGGAAATAATCGATTTTTTCATGTTTCTACGGCAGTTTTCATGTAGTTTGCAGCCATTTTGTACTGGCCAGAGTGAGAGTCAATAGCTGGCTGCCACGAACTGGCAGGAAATTCTATTGGCCAACGTGAGAGCCAACAGTTGACTGACACGAATGTTAACTAGCATGCAAAAAAAAAAGTGGGAAAAATTTAAATCTGCATAGCACTTTACTCCAATTGGCTTATTCGCTTGCTTAAAATCAATGTTGATTCTGATTCCGCAGAACTGGGTTGGGTGTGAAAAAGTATGTGTTGTTAACATTCTTTTTTCATTCAGTTTTTCCAGTTATGAGTCCTTTTTTAAAGCTGATTGTTTTGTGTTCATTTTGTTTAGTTCTTTTTTTGTAACAGATTTAATGTTTAGTATAGAGCTTATGCAGAACATCCTTCCGAATTGGTTTTAACAAAGATAGGACCCTGAAAAAATATGGAGGTTGGCAGGGAAAATAACCACTTCTTACATCAACTGAAATTTGATTGGCAAATATCGCACTCATCTCACCAATTCATGGTAAGTGCAAAGAGCCAGAACATTTCTGCAGACTAATCTTAAAATTTTAATTAAAAAAAGAATAAAATATTGAGGGTCAGTTTATATATCAAGTAATACAGAAATGATCTCTCAATTTATATCCACAAAATTTCTTGTTTATTAAATTCTGATTAGATATGAATCTACCTATTCTCCTTCCACCTATGGGTTAATTAGTAAGACTTGTATCACTAAAAAAAAAAAAAAAAAAAAAAAAAAAAAAGTTCTTACAATCTAAGAATATTTTCAGGCTTTAAATAACCTGCAAAAGGTCGATAAGCTGTAAAAAAATAGTTAAAAGAGTGAACTAAAAATAAACACTGAAATCCAAAGGTGCATTGGAATAGTAAGGGATGCCTTCCAAAATCTAAGCAAATTATTAAGAAACAGGAAAATTTTGTTCAAAACAAAAAGAATACTGAACGTTTATGTAATACTGGTCCTTCTTCATGGCAATACTGGATAATCTCCTTGCAGATGAAGAGACTTGACACAGCAGGAATGTGGTTCTACAGAAGGATGTTGAGAATGAGGAAGTTTTAAGGATAATGAAAACAAAAAGGACACTTATGCATAGAATCCAAAAGGGACTGTTGAAATATCTGAAACACAAAGAGGAAAGAGAGCTCAGAGAATTTAATACCCACTAGACATATTAAAGTCAAGAGGGACAGAGGAAAACAGTGAATAACAATGAATGAGGTTACGTAAATGGATGGCAGAATGGGGGAAAAGGAGGGATAGCAAAAAGCGAAACCTTACTCAGAGTTACAAAGTACAGGAAGTTGTGGAAAGTCATGATCGCCTTATCATCCCAAAGGGAAACAGCGCACAGATGCTGGCCAAAGGTTTGCTGATGATATTAATTTGGCCGAGATGAGTGATTAACAAATAAATCTTCTATTTTATCCTCATTGGGAACTGCACATTTTTATCCTTATGCCAAACTAACAATAGTAACACTACTTTTACATGCCATTACTAATTTAGTTTTTATAGTCATCGAGTAGTCCAAACTTGGGGCTATGTTCCAGACTGAGCGCCGAGTTAGTGACGGACATTCTTTGATAATATAAATCTGAAGAAAATAGTAATATATTTCGACGAATGCTAGATCTTTTTTTTTTTTTGTCAGAATATGAGGCTAGATCTGCACATTTTGAACTCTGAATATCCAAACTTACCTTGAGGTATTTCCAAAAAACAATTTGGGTTGATAAAATCCTGACCAAAAAAAAAAAAAAAAAAAAGAAAAAATTTAAAATTCTTGAAAAAGCCTAAATGTTCAAAATTAAAAATTCACTATATCAAAACCCATATCCTCCTGCCATCAGTTTAAACTGACACCATTTCCCACCCCATATATCTTTAAAAAAAAAAAAAAAAAGTGTAATCTTGAAAAACTTAAAATTTCAGATCTGATCAATATATATCAAAACTGTTGCCATGTTAACGGAGCTAGAGTATCCAGTGTAAAGCCGCTTAGCACAAATTGACCTTCAGCTGTGTCATGCATGCACACTAAGTTATAATGTTCCTGCTCAATTTCATTGTTTATAGCAGTGCTTGGAAGGAAAGTGTGTAGAGTGTGGTCATCTTACCCCAACACAGAAGTTCCATCAGTGACCATGGTTTGTGCGGCAGTTTTTAGCTAAAAGCAACAATCCCCAAGTCAGACAACCACCATATTCACCAGATCTCAGCCCTTGTGACATTTTTCTTTTTAAAAATCAAATCCAACTTGAAAGGTTTGGTTTGTTTTACAGCATATCAACCTTAATGGATTATTTAATGCCGACAACATTTTTAGGATAGATTCCTATGAATAGAGTATGTATTCTTTGCTTTAGATTGGTCTGGTTTGTTTTGTAGCATATCAACCTCAATGGGTGATTTAATGCCGACAACATTTTTACGATAGATTCCTATGAATAGAATATGTATTCTTTGCTGTAGATTGGTCTGGTTTGTTTTGTTTTATGGCATATCAACCTCAATGGATTATTTAATGCTGACAACGTTTTTATTGCTGGTAATATTTTTCCCCTCAAAAAAATGTATTGCTGGTATTAAAACCTATTTTTACACTTTTATAGTGTTTTGACCCCAGTGTGGTGAGAGGCCTTGCTGTTGAATGTAATTCATTGTCTTACCCAGGATGCAGATGTAGTTTATTGTCATACCCAGGAGAGTACTTGAAAGAAATAAGATTTCAAGATGTTGAGGAAATTCAAAAGAAGAATAGTGTTGTTTTTTGGGGATAGTGAGCAGCAAGGAGTTCCAGGAATATTTGTATCAATAGAAACAACACGGTATAAATAAATGCCAAATTGATGTGTGTTGTAGTTTTGTTTTTTTTTATAGCACAAGTACAGATATGTTTTTTTTTAAATATGTTTTTTTTCATTAAAATATTTGGGAAAATTTTCAGGCTCATTTTTCTAGAATCAAGAAAATATAACCTTGAAAAAATGGTTACAATATATGGAAGCAGTACCAGAATTAAGAAAATATACACATTAAACAAAATGTCAGTTATAATTTCTATATATATATATATATATATATATATATATCTTACTTATTATAAAACGCAGATTGTGTGTGTGTGTGTGTGTCTGTACGTTTATATATTGGATCGGATTTCCTACATTTTTCAACCGATTCCAACAAAACTTCACAGGACTACGTAAAATTACCTTTTGCGGTGGTTCTGACAGTGCCAAAATTGGAATAACACAATTGTTTTTGAATGAAATCAATTTGGAAACATGATAAAACCTGATTCTGTCGCCAGAATGAAAGGGGGACAACTCATATCCAGTTATACTTATTATAAAACCCAGGTTGTTTGTTTGTGTGTGTGTGTGTGTGTGTGTGTGTGTGTGTGTGTGTGTGTGTGTGTGTGCATTTATATATGGGATCGGATTTCCTACATTTTTCAACTGATTTCAACAAAACTTCACTTTTTTTTGTTGGCACATAGTGTTTCTTATTGTCTTGCACACTTTTTTCTTTATTTTTACATTCAGAATTCTTTAAAAATTCCATTTACAAGACAATTGTTTATAATAAAATTCTATTCAATCGATAGACTCATAACGATCGAAAACAATGCTTTTGTTTGAGTTTGGGTTTGACCAATTCGTACAGAAAAAAAACAAAACAAAAAAAAAAAACTATTTAAGACATGCGTGTCCGTCAACCTTAAACAATAATCTTTGTCAATTTTATTTTTCAGTCTTTATGATGGTCGATACTTGATCTATCTCTTACTGTTACATCCCTGGGCAACGCCGGGCTCTCCTGCTAGTTTTATATATGCGCAGTGCTTATTGGAAAGTGCTCAATATCAATGATAGAGCTAGCATATTTAGTTGAATGGATAAAAGTTTTGTAACCCTGGGTTTCTATGGCTATGCACCCATGCCACACAAGCAGAAGCCAGTCATGGCTGTCAAACAATTTCTGTGACTACATCACCCTTTATATCTGGTCACCTAACTCGCCAGGCTGCAACCCCTTTGATTATTATGTGTGGGGCACAGTTGAACGAGAGACAAACAAAACTTCTTGTAACAGGAAAGATGAACTGAAGGCAAGGATTATGGCAGCATACACCAACTTAAACAAGGAGAGCAACCAGAAGAGTTGCAGGAGATTCTGAAGTTGTCTTCCTATATATATATATATATATATATATATATATAGTAAAAAGTTACAAATCAACTGGTATATAATTCAAGTAGGTCCTAGTAATATAAAATATTAAAACTGATGCACAAAAAGAGCTTGATGTATTTATTATTATAGAGCAAATAATTAATAAACAATAAAATCGAAAAGTCACCTCATATGGTGAATAGGCCTATTTCGACAGAAGAAGATATCAGTTTTCTGTCTTATCAACCCCAGTGTGGACTGAGTATGTCAGAAATAGAAATTTAACTGTGAAAGCTAGAAAAAAAAAAAAAAAAAAAAAAAAAAAAAAAAAATCAACCTATCAAAAAAATAGAATTTATCCATCTCAATGTTTCAGTCAGACAAAAAGCACAAGACAGGGCTCAGGGCAGGGTGGAAGCGAGAAGTTTTATAAAATTAAACCTGAATATTAATTATGACATTAATTTGGGATTATATGAAGACTGAAATACTGATTTAAAATTAAAAGAGGAATAAAAAGGGGTTTGAAAATAACTTTAAAATATATAGATTAAAGGATGCAAGGGATTAATAGAAAAAGAGTTGGGGGGAGATCACAAAGTAGGGGAAAGTTTTATAAATTATAATTAATATAGTGTAAAGAGGCTAGGGGGGGAATATAGATAGAATTAATTATACATTGACGACTTAGACGGGGGAGTGAATATTATGGAAATATAGTATCTAATTAAGATAAACCTATATTATGGAAATTTGAATTTGCTATTCCCCATATGAGGTGATATTGGATTTATTGTTTATCATATATATATATATATATATATATAGGGGGGGCTTCTATGAGCTCCTCATCTTGTCCTTTGAGAGGTCTTGTGGAGTTAAATGCCATCCTCCTCATCAGCAGAAAAGCTAATGGGGGTACTTATTTAGACAGCAATCACCCCCTCATGCAGCAGGTTTTACATATGTTACATATTAACCTGACCTAACTCATAATTCTGAACTATGCAGAAGGCAACAGGAAACCACTCCACTATCTTTCCCATGAAGTCATTTCCCAGCTGAAGACAAACAAAATGTGCAGATAAGTAAATGCCGACTTCTTGAAAGGACATTGTTTATAAAAATAGTTTAAATAACAGGGTAGATTGGAATCCTTAGCCTGGGGTGGCAACCGGTCTAGGAGAAGGAATACTCTGAATTAACTGTGGAGAAAGCAATGAGAAACCACTCCAAAATTCTTCCTAAAAAAAGGGACATGACAATTTATAGATGATAAAGAAAATGAATCTGTGGTGAGTGATGACAACTTACACCCTGAAAGTACATGACATTTGGAAAAAATTAATATATATATATATATATATATATATATATATATATATAAGTTTGTAAGATTCAGCAATATAATTGGTCCTGGCCTGGCATTTCAGCTTCAGTCACTTTCTCTCCACCATAATGTGCCTTTTCTACAAATACTTGGTTAATTATTTGGATGAACTTTTTGGCTATGGTACCTAGACTCTATGAATTTAAGTACAGTACTAGATTGGCAGCAAGGACTCACCAATTCACAATTTAATTAGCCAGGCGTAACCATAAGTTCTATGCTGACAGTTTCTTTTTTATCGCACTTCTCGCCTGTGGAACTCTTCTGGCGCCACGCTTTCCAGCCAACTTTGATCTTCAAAAATCTAAATGCAATGTTAATCATTATCTACTGTCTTTTATTGTGGCTGCTCCTTCATGTTTCTCCTTTTTCTTACTATTCTACACTCAATAACCCCTGGTGTCTTAGTGGCTTTAGTGCCTTACATTAAAAAAATGTTTTTAAACAGAAAAGATGATATGCTTACCCAAAGTCTTTTGGCTGTGTCGATCATAGTTTTACTGAATCCAACAATAAATCTGAAATAATAAAATGTATTCATAAAGTAAATATATATATATATATATATATATATATATATATATATATATATATATATATATATATATCTTGAAATTTCAAGCAATAACAACAGCAAAAGAATGCATCAGCCAATATCTAAGCAGAAAACCAACAAGGATGAGGATATTAGACCAAACAACCATTGGAATAATGATGATAATACATGTGAGAATTTTAGATAATGAGGAAGGCCAAAAAACCAACAAGGATGAGGATATTAGTCCATACAACCCATGAAATAATAATAATAATGACTCATGTGAGAATTTCAGACAATGAGGAAGGCTAAAGAATACATCTGTCAAAATGTAAAGATAAAGCCAACAAGGGATGAGGATATTAGTCCAAACAATCCCTGGAATAATGACAGATGTAAGAACTTCAGACAATGAGGAAGGCCAAAGAATACATCTGCCAAAATGTCGTGATAAAACCAAGGATGAGGATATTAGTCCATACAACCAAGGGAAAACGCATGTGAGAATTTCAGACAATGAGGAAGGCCAAAGAATGCATCAGCCAAATTGTAATGATAAAACCAACAAAGAGGAGAATTTTCTGTTTGAATTTCTATGATGAGCAGTTATCAAGTACTCGGAGGATTCAAATGTTGATTTGTGAATTTGGTTACATAGTAATTGTGAGTTCAATCCCTGGGCCAGGCAGTGTGTTGTTGAATTCAGTGTAAACTGGTGAGCAATAAATGAAAATTTACTAGAGATAAGAACTAAACAAGATATCATACGACATCCGCTGTGGAACAAGAACAGTCTACCTACATAAATTTAATAAAGGGTTCACTTCAGAATTGCCCATTGGTTATCACAGGTCGACAGACACATGATAAAGACCAGAAGACATGAGGACCAAAAATGTGATAGCAACAACAAAAATGAGGACAATAGTTTCAATGCAAGTCAAAACAACCCCTGGAATAATGATGACAGATGTAAGAATTGCAGACAATGAAGAAGGTCAAAGAATACATTTGGCAGTAATAAAGCCAACAAGAATGAGGATAATAGTTCAAAAAATTCATGGACTAATCTGTCTATATTTCTGAGAGGAGTTTTTATGTAGATTATTTGTTACATTGTTCGGACTATCATCCTCATCTTTGTTGCCATATTTATCACAATGTTTCGGTCGTTGTAAGCTCCGGCCTTCTTCAGGTGGTTGGGATGTCTACCCCATTCGCTCAATGGGGTAGATTATCAGTTATCTCCTGTTAATTCCAAATTCTCCACTATTGAACTCACACTCTTGGGTCCTGTCACTGGACCTAACTAACGTCTTTATGCACTGTGCCAAATGTCCTTAAGGACATCTGCATATGAATTTCTGGGTATTATAAACCTAATGTTGTCAACACCATTTTTTACTAGTGCTTATATTGCAATTTTTGCTGTCATCATTGCATTTTTTTTTATCAGAGCTCATATTGCAATTTTCATTGTTATTATTGCTTTTCTCTGGCACTTCTTATTACTGGTTCCCATATTGTATTCATTTCTATGTTTGGTCGACTCAGGAGATTTTTGTGGCCTAGCATATGTGCAGATTCCTTAAGTTTATGAATTTTCCAATGATGTTCTTTGTCTATGATTTCAATCTGATCCCACAGACAAATTGTAATGATTAAAACCAACAAGGATGAGGACATTAGTCCAAAAAATTCATTGAATATTATTAATGACACATGCCAGAATTTCAGGCAATGAAGAAGGCCAAAGAATGCATCAGCCAAAATGTACTGATAAATCCAACAAGGATGAAGATGTTAGTCCAAACAGCCAATAGGATAATTACCTATAACTGATACACTTACCTGGCATTTTTTATCACTTTCGTCATGGTTTTCATCTTCTCACTGTCATGACACAATTCATTAATATCTGTTCCTCCAAGAATGACGACATAGCAAAAATTTGGCGGAAGATCTGGAATTATAATACAATAATGAATTTGTAAATGGTTCCTATACAATATATCTTCATGGCATTTTGGATGGTGCAAAAAGTCAGGTAAAAAAAGACAATCAATTGCAAGAAACAGAATGTGTAGACATCCACAAGAGAAAAGGCTCAAAATGCAAACTCCAAATTGAAGATGTCAAAACAGAACATATGACAGCAGAATCCGAGAGGGTACTGAAATAGCAACAGCTACCTTACAAAAGCAAGACAAAGTATTATGAAACAGGAAAATTTTGTTAGAAACCAAGAAAAAAAAATGCTGGGGTGATATGTAATATTGGCCCTCTTATATAGCACTGAATTCTGAACAATTTCTTCCCAGAGACTTAAAGTAATCGAAATTTGCTTCTATATAAGGATGCTGAGAATACCATGGATTGAACATGTGAGTAACAAGGAAGGTTTTCAGATAATGGAAACAAAAAATATATTTAGAATCAGAAAGAGTTGAAATTTACAGGACACATAATGAGGAAAGAGGGCTTGAAAAATTTGATACTCACAGGACAGATTGAAGAAAATAGAGTAATTTACATAATTAACTTGTGTACATCAATGGCAGAACTGGGACCGGGTGGAATGATGTAACAACAAACATTGCTAAGAGCTATGAAGAATAGGAAGTTGTGGAGAACCATGAAAAACCTAAAACGCTTGTGCAAATGGATGGCAGAAATGGGATTGAGTGGGATAGTGAAAATATATACATTGCTAAGAGCTACAAAGGATAAGAAGTTGTATTGAGATGATAATAATTTAGTGATATACATCTTACTAATTAACCCATAGCTGAGGGGAGAAGAGGTGGATTCATAACTAATCAGAACTTGATAAACAAACAAGAAATTTTGTAGATAAAAAGTGAGGGATCAATTCTACGTTACAACCAATATATAAACTGATCCCTCACTTTGTGGCCACAGTAGTTGTTTATTACAACGTTTCGGCCGTTGTACACTCCAGCCTTCTTCAGGTGGTTGGAATGTTGAACTGAACCCTTTATTTCATAGACTGTTCTAGTTCCACGTGCCATGTTTTAATGGATGTCAGTTGTCAGTTATCTTGTGTTAATTCCCCTCTCCACTGCCTTAACCAGGTATTGAAATCACACTCTTTGGGTCCTCTCATTGGATCTAACGCCTTGATCCACTGTGTGTCCAGTGAGTGAAATAAAGGGTTCAGTTTGACATTCCAACCACCTGAAGAAGGCTGGAGTGTACAACAGCCGAAATGTTGTAATAAATATGGCGACAAAGATGAGAACAATAGTCTGAATAATGTAAATAGTGGACATAATACCTCATCTCAGAAATATAGACAGATACTGAAGGAACACAGTTCTCCGTAATGTGAATTTGATTGTTAAGACGATAAATAGGGGATGCTTTTCAGAGGATTTAAGAAATATTTTTAGTTTAGTTTTTTCAACTTTGCCAACTACTACAATAATCAAATTTTAAGTTAAAAAAAAAAAAAAAAAAAAAAAAAAAAAGTCTTGCAATATGACAAAGATGTATTTTCCACAGATAGCAGTTTTTCAGAAGAAGGGATTATCAAGTGTAGAATTGGTGAGTGGACTTTGAATTGCAACCTAGTATACTGCATTCACTTTCACACAGATTCTCTTGAGAAAGACATGAATTCATCTCTTCCTGCTACCCTTGCTGTACGTTAAATAGTAGAGAAGAATTGAAATTGGCGCTGAGACGGTTGGCACGTTTTCCATTCCCAGATGGACCTCAAAATGGACCTGAAAATACTCAACCCGACGTGGACCATGCAGATTCAACCCTTTTGCCTGATGCAGGTCCCGTTAATATTTCTTCACCTTCTACAGAAAATGAATCTTTGAATAATAGCCAGAATCCTGAAAGTCAGCCTTCTCAGAGGTCTGGCTCTTCCAGTGGTGAACTACCTCCACGCCGGTCTAGCAGGATTCGTAGACCAATCCAACGACTGGATTTATAAAACTTTTTCAATTACAATCTCTTTTGCAAGTGGGGGAGAATGTTATATTTTCGTAAAGAATAAAAAAAAAAAGAAAGAAAGAATAAAAAATGGAAACTAGCTTTCTTGTCCACGTGACTTTTCACACGTTTCCATTCCTCTTTAAAAGCTGCGTTCTTCTTCCTTTTCATTCTAAATTCTTTCCTTTGTTGATTACTGACTGCTGTGAATTAAATTCAGTAAAGCCTTAAGAAAAGCTTATTCTATCCTAGCTTTTTTCTCTGTACTACATAACAATAAAATAAAAAACTTCAAGGTATTTTAAATTGGATTTTAAATTGGATATATCCAAGACATATATACCATGTCTCTTATTTTTTTTATCTATTTTAAAATCATTTCACACCAAGCAAAGCAGTAATGCCATGAGAACACAGGGGGCTACAGGGAGTGAAAGTGTAAGAGAAGATTTTAGTGGGAGGGTTGAGGAGAGGACAAAAGATGGAGGCGATTCAAGACAGAAGATGGCAATTGACATGGCATTTAACTTTTTGAAAATTGTAGTTATCAGGGAAGCAAGTAAACAGAAGGGAGTTCCACAGGTGGGAAGTGTGAGAAAAGAAACTCTTAGAGTAGAAGTGGTGGTTGCAACAAGCTATTTCAGCAGTAAAACAGCGAGACCTCATTACCAACTACACTTAAAGTCATGTAATTGAGACACCAGAGCTGCCATGAAAATATTTGTAGAAAAGACAGAAGGAAATCATGTCATATTGGTGACAAAGTAACTGAAGTCAAGATGCTTGGTCAGAATTGATTACATTACGGATGCCTTACAGTGCAGTGTGCTGCTCTTCAGGAGTCTAGTATCAGCCATGCTGATGGCAGGCAGAAAAGGTTCTCTATGGTGGTTAAATAGCAATTTTGTTTTCCAAGCCATTTCTTGCCCCAGTTAACCACTGATTGAAGGTCCTTTTCAAGAACAGCTGCCAGGTTTACTTTGTCATATCTGTCGGATTTGCTGTTGAGACAGGAGTATAAATGGTAGTGTCATCTGCATAAATACATATTTGGGAACTGATGACATCAAGGAAATCATTGATGAAGATCAGAAATAGTGTAGGGCCCAGGATGGAGGCCTTGGGGGACACTCACGTTCACGAGAAAAGAACAGGAAGCAAGCCAATTCAAAACAATTTGATAGGAATGAGTGAAAACATTCATCATGCGACATCAAAGACCTAGAGCTTGCGTAGAATGCCAGCATGTCAAAACCTGTTGAATGCCAAGACAGAGAGAGAGAGAGAGAGAGAGAGAATAAAAGTCAACGAGAGAGAGAGAGAGAATAAAAGTCAACGAGAGAGAGAGAGAGAATAAAAGTCAACGAGAGAGAGAGAGAGAATAAAAGTCAACGAGAGAGAGAGAGAGAATAAAAGTCAACGAGAGAGAGAGAAGAATAAAAGAGAGAGAGAGAGAAGAGAGAGAGAGAGAATAAAAGTCAATATAGAGAGAGAGAGAGAAAGAGAGAGAGAGAGAGAATAAAAGTCAACGAGAGAGAGAGAGAGAATAAAAGTCAACGAGAGAGAGAGAGAATAAAAGTCAACAAGAGAGAGAAACATCTAAGTTAGGAGAAAGAAGAGAAAATAAATAAAAAAAAAAGTTAAAAAATTATTCCCATAATATACTTGAAATTCAGTCAGTCACGTGCCACACATGTTCACGCTTTTAATTCATGACGGACTAGGCAGAAGATTTTTCCCCGCTGTAGGTTACCATTTCTTACTGCTGTAAACTAGTTGCCAACCAAGGCTATATGATTTTCATGCTATTTAACCCATAACTGGAGGGAGAAGAGATGGATTTGTAATTTTCCCTAAGGGTATTTTTGTGTAAGTGACTGTAATGAACTAAACAGCAATTCAAACTCACCTCTCTGATTTCTCATTTGCATAATTGTATCATAAATTCTACTTACCTGTAAGTATTTTGCCAGAATGATAGGCATGCAGTGCGAAAATGGTCTCAACATTGTGGTCTTGGACAAATTCTGGGAAATCATTTACATGTAGCAGTTTGGGGTCTTTGAGGAGGCAGATGAATCCGGCCGTTTCTATGTATGACCTGCACTCAAAATAAGGGAGATTCAAAGGTCACAGTATATTTCACTCAATTAAAATCCTCATTTGCAAATGCAGACACAAATCTTAAACATCACAGGTACAGAATTTAGAAGCCTGGAGAGAAGAGACGGCCAAATTCACAACAGTAGGAGCTGGATTAGGTGCTCATTAACCATCACCCTCACCCAGTGTGGCACCGTAGCAATGTGCTTGAGAGAGAGAGAGAGAGAGAGAGAGAGAGAGATTAGCTAGGCAGTATTATTTCGTTACATTCATTGTTATGATACAAAGTAGAATCAGTGGACGTGCAACTTCGATCCAGGGAAGAAGTCTGATGTGCAGCTTTGAGCTGCTGACATCTCAGCTGGGTAACTAAGAAATACCGCTTAAAGGAAGTGAAGATATGGCCAGAATACAATATCAAAATATCTCCTTGTACAGCATTGACAAACTCTGGTAGATTAGAATTCTCTATTGAGAAAGGGACATTGTATCAGGTGATCCTTTCAATAGAGTTTCACTTCAACAAAGAGAAGGCCATTGTGCGGCTTTGGTCCACTGAATTCCTGGACTGGGTAACAGCTGATGACCAATGGATTACATCAATGATATATCTGAGTTTTCTAGAGAAAATTGTGTTTAATCGACTAAACAAATATGGTGATTTTCCAAGCATAACTTAGGTGTGGTACAAGGCCAAAACTACAGGGGAACCCCAGTGAGGATCACTTTTAGTACTTGGATGTAATTGAACTAGCAAGATCAGCTTGTTAACCATTACACCAAGACTAAGAAAATATGCTTCAAAGTTGCAATTAATAGATACCGTAGGCAACTATAGAAGATTTATCCCCAGATTTTCCAGAAGTTCTGGTATTTATAGATACCATAGGCAACTATAGAAAACTTATTCCCAGATTTTCTAGAAGTTCAGGGATTTATGGGTACCATAGGTGACTATAGAAGACTTATCCCCGGATTTTCTAGAAGTTCGGGGATTTATGGGTACCATGGGCGACTATGGAAGATTTATTCCTGGATTTTCTAGAAATTTGGGGATTTATGGGTAACATGGGTGACTATATAAGATTTATTCCCAGATTTTCTAGAAGTTTGGGGATTTATAGGTACCATGGGCGACTATATAAAATTTATTCCCGGATTTTCTAGAAGTTTGGGGATTTATAGGTACCATGGGCGACTATAGAAGATTTATCCCTTACCTCCTGGACTCAGCAAAAACAGCCAGTGATTCAGAAGGAAGTATACGTAACAGTGCATGCACTCTAGAATTTGCATTGTCATCTGGACAGAGATAAATTCGTGATAAAGATGGCCTATGAACCACTGCAGTTTGAGGCTGAACGGTCGGCTAAGGAAAGTCATCAGTGACTAAGCAGTCATAATTTTGTCAGGAATGAGAACACCTGGGTAGATTGAAGTGGATGATAAGGCTTATCAAATTAATGTCATAAATTCATATAAATTAGAGGAAAAACCAGTTTAGATAAGCAGCTCTGCTATAGAAATGCATTGGAGCAAGCAGCTAAGCTATAGAAATTTTAATAGAACAAGGTAAAAAATCAAAATTTTTTTTCACTATATATAAGGCTTAAGAGCCACTGTTAGACTGTTACTGTTACATACTGCTTATCCTAAAAGAGACATGTGATCTGAACCGAAAATGAAAACTTACTTTAATCTGAGGGCCGTTCCATAATTTCCTGATTCTGTGTGAAGTTTTGATAAAAGCAGAACAGTCGACTTGTCCATGATATGTAAATGTTATCTGATTTGGTGAAAGTATCAGCATGGGCATCTGGCTGTAGATAACAAATGGAGAGATTATTAATAGTGAAAAAAAACACAATAAACATTGTTATTAGGCTGGTTAGTTTAATAACATCACAATAACCAATCAGATCCCAGCTGAAAAACCCCTAACATAAATTAAACATCCCTGACTGGGAAATAGGCCAAATAATAAGGCCAAAATTGTCCATTATCAATGGCAGATAATAATATTCACTGCTGGTAACTGGTGTCATTGGAAAAATTCTATGTGTAGGGGGGGGTGGAGACATGGAAAAGTTACTAAAATAGGCTACAGTTGATTAACTGGTATAAATTTTGAATTGAAAAACATTTATTTTACTGGGAAAGTTAGCTTTTCCAAAAAATAGCCTTATATTTGGTTGTTCAGAAAATAATGTCCAATTTTAGAATAAACCTTTTTTGTTTCAATATATTCTTATAATAGTTGCACAAAAATATATTGCTTGTTCCTAATGATTAAAGTGTCCTCTTTGTCAATTTTATATCAATCTCTTTCAGAATTTAACTTAAAACATTATGAGCATAGTGGATGAAATGGTAAAGAGGCTTACAGAATTTCATCTGTGTGGGAAAGAGGTTGTAGAGTGGGAAACAATTCATCACTCACAAAGCTGCACGGGTGCTTTTAAACTAGAAGGTGGTGGTTTAGCATTGCTGGGGTTGAAGGTAGACAGTTCTAGCCGGCTCTTGGTGGTAGACTGACTGTTCCATGCACAGATCTGATGATGACACTTTGTATTGACAACTCCATGTCAAAAAGTGTAGACGGGCATAGAATTGGCTGTGGAGGAGGAGCTGGCCCACGAGGCCAACGTGGGGGTGCGGGCGGGGCGAGCGGCCGGCCTCCGAAGCCAACGTAGGGGTGCAGATGGCGGAGGAGCTTGTCTACAAGATCAACATAGAAGTGTTTATGGGTAAGGATTTGGCAGCTGGGTGAGAGCAGGGCATTGGCTGACGGGTAGGAGGAGATCGACAAGACCAACATAAAAGTGCAGACGGGCAGAGAATTTGCTGTGGGGTAGCAATCAATCTATGAAACCAAACAGGACAAAAGTTTTTTTACAATATCGGAAGCAGGATTCATATTATTATTTCTCAATATGACATACATTTTCCACTTCTTTACTGTGTGGACATACACCCAGTTTCCAGTGCACACCGACGTGAATGAAAATCAATATACAATGAAGGTTAATCACTGAGCAGTCAGTAGAAACTTGGTTCACTTGTGGCTTTACGTTTGTTTAGAGGCATATCAACCTCAATGGACTTTTTAAGGCCGAAATTTAAATATTTTTATGCAATTTTATTTTATTTAATGTGAGAGGAACTGGCAAGTGTTATGTGTTTATAATTGTAACAAAGGAAAAAAAAATGATTTACCACAACACAGAGCTAAATCACAAACAAATATTTAATTTACTAAAACAGAACATAAAATATATACAAGATAAACAATTGTGGCCTACAAAACAGAAAACACAGAGTTACTGGCGGAGTGTTACGAGGAAGAAGGAAAGGGAGTCAAATATCTTTATCACTTTAGGGCTAGTGAAGTAATCTAAGTGCTATATTTGGAAATCCACAAAGGTGTGTAAATAAATATTAATTTTTTAGTTTGGTCAATGAAAATTAGTCAAAATTCTATTTACCAAATTTGTTCCATGAAATTCTCTCTTGGGTTTTGGTTGGTCGGTAACTTTTTATAGAGATTCTTTCGGCTGGATGTAATAGTCCTTGAATTAAAAGCCAGAGTTGATAACAGCAGAAATTCCCATTCATCAACTGACAACCCTTTTCCAAAATCCCATTTTTATAGGGGCTAACACCTAATTTGCATATTTCTAGATGTTTCTTGAATCATCTAGATTTTTCTCGAATATACTAGAATGATCTAGAATCTTCCAAACATTCTATTTCTAATTTCTCTATTTTACAACTACTTCATGAATGAAAATTTTTTTGTAATAACAAGTAGAACTCAAAGGAATCCCTTATTATAGAAATGCATCCTCGTAACACAAGCGAAACTTCCCAACAAACCTGGAGGGGGGGGATTTACAGTCACAAGCCCACATCATGATGATGGTGTTTGCATATGTATTTTAGTCAGCTGTTTTGCTGTTTATTATATTGCATTCATTAGTTGTGTAGCAATGATTTAACAGGAGTTAATGATTGAAAAATCCAACCATAATAAAGAAATTTTTAAATTTAATTTTATAAATGAATTTAAAAATTTCTTTTTTTAAAAATGTCAGATCTCCCAGGAGTTTCCCATGGTGTGGAATATGACTACACTTTTCCTGGAAACTCTCAGAATAGCAGCAGACAATGACTCTCATATCAGTATACGTACCACAGTATTACATCACCCACACATCCAAGCTGATATCGATGTCTACCATTCTTCCATGCTTAGAATATTGCTGCCACATATGGTACAGTGTTCATGCTATTTATCTTAACATCCAAAGAAGAATCAGCAATACTATTGGTCCTAATCTGGCATCTCGGCTTCAGTCACTTTACACCATATAGTTAACTCCTTGCGCCTTTTCTGTAAATACTTTAATGGTAATTGTTTGGATGAGCTCTTCACTTTTATTCCCCACCCCAGATACTGAATTGTACAAACGGGGACTAGTTAGGTGTTTTATAGAGACAATGAGGTATTATGGTGAATGTAGTAAGAAAGTTAAGTAAGAATGCGTTGTTTTGGTGTAAGGATTATTGTTGTATGTTTGGGCCAGTTCTTGTGTCTAGCTAAGTTTAATATTAAAATAGAAGAAGACCATCCTTTTCCCCATTTTGGCCTTGTGCTATATTTCTGTACATAGTAAAATAAATATTGCTCTTTACTGTGGTACCTAGACTTTATGAATTTAAGTGCAGTACTAGATTGGCAGCAAGGTCTCAGTAATTTACAGTTGAAATGACCAGGTGTAACAGTAGGATCCACGCTTTCCACCAACTTTAAAAGTCAATCATTATCTACTGTCTTTCTGATTAATCTTCTATTGTTCTTGATTTTTAGTAATGTTTCTGTTTCTAATTACTCCATACCAAGTAACCCCTTGTAACTTAGCGGCGTTATTGCCTTGCTTGAGGTGAACCAGATTATCTAAGAAAAAAAAAAACCCCAAAAAAACCACAAGCAGACAC